CAGTTTCACACAATGTGATGACCTACCATATTCCTGAGAACAATTAAAACGGCCGGGAGAATAGTTATGCACAGGTGTTCTCGGGAGTATTGAAACGCCTTAAACAGTGGCAGCAACTTAAATGCGAGTCAGGAGGTGAAGAGTTAAGAAACACCATAAAACAGAACATTATCCAGGGGTCAAAGGAATAAGACACTGATCCATGCTGTACCGTGGGAGGTCCTTGAAAACACATGAACAGGCAAGGGAGACCGTGCGTGAATGCATTTGCATGAAATCTTATTTAATGTCTAGACTAGCTAAATCCATGGGAACAGAGGGAACAGAGAGAAAACCGTGAATGGGTGTGGGGTTTCTACTGGGATGGTGGTTACACAACCCTGAACATATTTAAATGTCACTGAGCTGTATGCTTTGAGTGCTTATCATAGTAAGTAAACAGCATCTCAGTAAAACTGTGAAGTGGACAGGAAACAGTTCTGGTCCAGCCTGGTGTGGAAAGAGACTGCGCTCTTTCTGAGGTCGCCACTGCCGATGACTGTCACTTGAGTGTTCTGACCCCACGGGACTTCCAGGAAAGACGGCCACCGGGAATGTATTCCCTGTCTACTGCCTGGTAGCTGCTGAGACAGCACTGAGTCCTGGCTGGGCTGGGGCGGGGAAACCAGCTTCCTCTAGGGACAGTCCTCTTCTCCAGCTCTGTCCTCTCAGTGCCCGACTCTGTAGGCCTCCGTCACCCGGAGCCCTAATTCACCCTTTGCTCCTGGGGTGGCTAGGGTGGGGACAGAAGGGAAGGACTGTAGCTATTAAGTCAGACCTACTTACGAGTAAAAATAGAAACTCTGTCCCCAGCATGCCAGCCTTGGGCTGAGTGACAAGTGCCTCAAAACAGGGACAAGTCCTGGGTTGTGCTCAGTTGAGGACCAGCTTGGAGGAGTCTGGACATCCCTCATTCACCTGACCTTGTTCTCTGGGTAGAGACTGCCCAGCAGGTGCTCCTAATCTTCAAGCAGGTGCTAATGTACCCAGGAGGGCAATTTCCTGGGAGGAAGGCATCCTGCATCTTCAGTAGAATGAAAGGCCTCAGAAAACCCCGGAAGAATCTGCTGCTTCTTTCCCCAGCCTCAGGGAAAGCCTCCCTTTGCACAGGTGCAGAGCTTGTATTCAAGTCTGGGCACCCTGCCTTGTGGATCCCTGCAGTCAGCCAGAGCCTGACCTTCACAGGTCCTGCCATTCACTGGCGGTGTGACCCTGACAAAATCACCCAGTTCAGTTCACTTACACCTTAAGAGAGACGGAGAGTCCAGGCATGCTGGGCTGGCACGGGTGGGGGTCTCATGGCTTTTGTGTGGTGCTGGGAACCTAGTGATCGGCTGATGGCTCTAAGTGAGCTTTTTCATTATTTCTATCCAAGAACAGAGAGAGGCCCAAGGACTTTACCCCTCCCCCTAAGCTCTTCCCCAGGTCTTAAAGAGGCTTGCCCCCAAGTAGATGGCTCATTTCTGTCCTTAAAGGGTTCTCTAAACATTTTGTGTCTGAGGCTGGGTGTTGGTGGCACATGCCTTTAATCCCAGCACTGTGGAGGCAGAGGCAGGTGGATCTCTGTGAGTTCGAGGCCAGCCTGGTCCACAATGCTAGTTCCAGGATAGGCTCCAAATCGGTACAGAGAAACCCGGTCTTGAACCCCCCCCCCCAAAAAAAAACCAAAAACATTTTGTATGCGTGTTTCCACCTCTCTGATGTTTAGGGATCCACTGTTTAGGGTTGCCTGTAACCCCATCAAATCTGAGCAGCAGCCCAGCCCCAAACAGCTACACCTGTGGGAGCAGCCAGGCCTCTGTGGTTTCGTGCGTGCAGTTTCACGTGCTTCTCTGGGTCTCCGTGTAGCATAACATCAGTGCTCCATTCCTGGGAAGCTTGGGGGTGGAGGGGTCAAGAGGAGGACAAGAAGCCATCTGGGGTGGTAGCAGATGCGGGGGATACCTGGACTCGGGATACAGAGGCAGAAGATGGGGAGTTCAGAGTCAACCTGAGCTACATAGTTTACAACCGGCCTTGTTTACAGGAGGACACGCTGCCTCACAAAGTAATGTGGGGCTAGGGAGGGGAAAGAGGGAAAGGGGCTAACTAAAAAGAAGGAGGGAGGCGCCAGAACACGCCAGCCCAGCGGGAACCACTTGTGCTCACACCCAGACAACGGGTCTGTTGAACAGTGGGGACACAGATGACAGTGGAGGAGAGCTCAGGAGCATTGCCAGCTGTGCGCATCCCTCCCTCTCACGGTCCGGTCTCACACGTAGTGCTCCACAGTCACCCTGAGCTGCCCACTCTCTTTTCTTTGTGTCCCCCCCTCCCCCATCCACCTGTGCCTCCTTGCTCCATCACCGTCAGGCGCCATCAGGACTCTTGCCCAGTGCTGTGATGAGATCCTGAGCGTGGGCAGGGTCCAGGTGAGGCCTCCTTAACCTGGCATAGCCCTACATGTCGGTGGCCCGCTCACTTGCTTCCTCTTTGCCCGTGAACCACCGACCTAGCCGTGGTTTTCTCGTTCGTGCTAAGCCATGACACCTGTGAAATCGGGCGTGCTGGCCATTCTTCGTTAGGAGATGGCTTTCTGTGGCACGGCTCACTGCTTACCCACTACGGAATGCTGGCTAGTGTAATCCTATCTGACTGGCACTGAAGTGTGGCATAGGGGTGATACGGTTCCCCTTCTTGCCTTCTACCTGCCCTTCTTGGGGACTGTTGCACCTTACTCCCTACAAGCAGCTCATGGTTGCTGCAGAGATTTCTGGACACTCACGGTCTCATGCAGGCGTGATTGTCAAGTGGGTAAATTCAGTGGCCTCTCTACACCCACACACTTATGACAAGCTAGTTTTGTAGGGGCACTGGGCAAATGCTCCAGCCAGCAGACAAAACATTTTGAGGTGGATCCCTGGGTCCAATTTCAGTCTATCACAGCTGCTCCCTTTTCTGGGCCGGTCCAAGTACCCTCCATTCCCTGTACTGGGCAGGATACCAGGAATGAATGGCAGAGCCTGTATTCCTGGACCAGGGCACTGTGTTTATTTTTAGCCTCTACTCTGTGTGGGTGTCTACACTGCATCTAGTGTCCTCAGGGAACCACCCTGAGGCAGATGCAGGGGCCACTGGGAGCTGGGCCCCCTCCCATTTCAGGTTCTAGGGCACAGGATTCCAATGCCCTTCTGGAAGACAGAATCAGCCTTTTTAAACTGAGGAATGAGCACGTCTCCAACACACAGAGGCTTGTGACTGTGACCTCGGGTTCCTCCTCTAAGAGGTAGGGGAAGGAGAGCCTCAGCTGCACACAGGGAACACCAGACAGAAGGTCACCAAGGTCTCCACAGGGCTGTCCACCCACCTGCCCACCCCTTCATGTACAACCCAGTTGTCTGAGTGAGCAAGGCCACGCCTGGATGCCCCAGGCCAGGAGACCTCTCTTCCACAACAGGGCTGTTTGAGCACAGTTTTACAGGAGTCAAGAAGCGGCTGTGGAAAGTGTAGCTGGATTATGGCTGATGGACAGACTTTCCTGCCTTCTCTTCTGCTGCCTGTGCTGCTCGGTGATGGTGGGTGCTGGTATTGCTAAGTGGGTCTCACAAAGGCACTATGGAATTGGATGTATGGTGTTGGGAGACCCAGACTAGTATCTCAAATGACTCTCTGTAGCCTCACCAGCAATTCACCTGCATACTACCCTGGTTTCTGCCTCTGTAAGCTGGGGGAAGTCGGCCCCACTATGGTTTCTAGTGCGGTGGCTCACGCTCAAAATCTTAGCACGTGGGAGGCTGATTCGGGAGGTTTGCCAAAGGTAAGAAGCCAATCTGGGATGTACAGTGAGTTCCAGGCCAACCTGGGCTAAGAGTAGGATCCCTGTCACGACTAAAATAAAAGAAAAATTACGGATGGCAAGATGGTTCAGTGGGTAAAGGCACTTCCTAAGTGTGACCACCTGAGTTCCCATTTCCAGGTGGTAGAATCAGAGAACTAACTCCCGGGAGTCTCCTGACCTGCACACATGTTGTGACATATGGTATGTTATGCACACACACACACACACCAAATTAAAAAGAAAACATTAAGAATTTAAAAATGTTCAAATAGCGTTATTCCCGGCATCCACTTGGCATGATGGTAAATCGATGTCAGCACAGGTAAGACGTACATTTTAAGTCTCGCATTTATTTACGAGAAACTGTTTCACAAAACAGTACTATTTTCACTATATGAGATTTCCTTCATCGCCTCTTTCATCCTATTTCACTTTTATTAAAAAAAATTTTTTTTTCATAGCACCCTAATCTGTCGTTGGAGACTAACTGTAAATAAAGATGCGCTCACATATATCGAATTACCCAATCGTGCATGGCGTGGAGCCAGCATCGGAGGACTCCCCCAAGCCCACGGCCGGGAGGGGAGCGGGGGCTTCGGGGCGCAGTCGGTTGGAGGAGCGCCGCAGGCTCGGGAGGAGGGGCAGGGCTGTTTAGGGGCCGCCCCTCCGGAAGCGCTGCGGAGCTGAGCCGCCCGTGCCGGCCCGAGCGGGGACCCAGGCAGGACGCCGGCAATCGGGGTCCCGACTCTCCAGCCTACTAACGCTAACGCGGGCGCCCCGAGGGCGACGCCGGCACGCGCAGCGGGAGGAGCCTGGCGCTCCGCCAGGGCCAGCCCCGGGGTCCGCCCCCGAGTTTGCAAACAGCGGCTGCCCGCCTGCCCCGCGCACGCGCGCCGCGCCCCGCCCCGCCCGCTCAGTCTCACGCCCCGAAGCCGTGCGCGGGGACCGCCGGGAACCGGCTGTGGAGAGCCCGGGGGGCGGGGTCCCGGCCGGCAGTCCCAATCTGCGCAGGCGTGGGCCCGCCCACCGCCGGCGGCTCGTCCATATTTAAAGGGAGCCGGGCGCGACGAGCCAATGGGCTACGAGCGTGCGGGGGCGGGGCGTGGCGGCGGGAGGCCCCGGATGTGGCTGTGGCGGCGCTCCTCCCCCGCTCCCCTCAGACTCGGGCTGCGCGCCTCGCTCCGCTCCGCTCCGCTCCGCGTCCGGCTCGCTCGCGGCCCGCAGGCCCCTAGGCGCGGCAGGAGGCGCCTCGGCGGCGGTGCAGAGCTGCGCAGGAGTGGGCGGCCAGGCGACCGCGCGGCGGCGGAGCGGGCGGGGCTCGGCGCTGGTCCCCCGCGCCTGGCGCGCCCCGGCCGCCGCCATGAGCGGCTCGTCCGGCACCCCGTATCTGGGCAGCAAGATCAGCCTCATCTCTAAGGCGCAGATCCGCTACGAGGGCATCCTCTACACCATCGACACCGACAATTCCACCGTGGCGCTCGCCAAAGGTAGCGGCCCGCCGCCGCCGCCGCCGCGCGCCCAACCGCCGCCCCCAACAGCCCCGCCGCCCCGCGCCTGCCCGCACAATGGTGTTCCTTCCCGGCTTCTCCGGGGCCGGGGGCCGGGGCCGGGGCCGGGGAGGAGCGGGCCGGCGGGCCACGGTCCTGCAGGTGCCGGGGGGCGGGGCGGCTCTGAAGCCGCGGGCCTCCCCACCTGCGGGGCGAGGCCAGGCGCGGCGCGGCGCGCGCCCAGGCGCGGGGCACGGGCACGGGTCCCGGTCCCGCGCGTCCTCCGGGAGCCCTGCGGCAGCTACGGCCCCGCCACGGCCGGGGGCAGCCGCCAGCCGAGCTAGGGCGTCGATTGAGCCGCGGCTGCCCTGCCCTGCCTTGCCCTGCACTCTTCCGACCCGGTGGACTTGAGGGGGTTGTTTGGTTTGTGATTGAGAAGTCCAGAGCCGGTGCGCGCTGGTCCCGTCGGCGTGAGGCCCCGGAGCTTCTTTTGTCTCCGTTGTCCGTGTAAAATGGGGCGCTCGTTTCCTCTCTGCTGCTCAGATGCGCGAGCGCAGCAGCCCGCCCCGGGTGTGTGTTAGACCCGCGAGGGTGCAGATCAAAGGGGGCGAGCGAGGGGGGGAGTTTGTTGTCGGCAGGCGTGCTGCAGTCTGTCTCCCAAACCCTAGCAGTACCTTCCGTTTGTGAAGGCTGGCGCGCGGACCCAGACCCAGGTGCTGCGGGACAGACAGAGCTCAGTGTTGAGGGCTTTTTTATTCACTTGAACTCTCCGCGCCGCACACTGCTTTTGACATGAGATCCCCAGTTGGAGAGACAGGCCCAGAGTAGGCTCCCTGACCACAGTAGGAGTGTGCTGCTGAAATCCTGCCGCCAGACTCAGATCAGCCCCGGAGTCCTGCCAAAGAGAGGTGTGCTAGCCTTCCTAGATCGGTGGAGGGTCCCTTGGGTCCAGGATTTCCTCACGGGGGTCTGAGTTCTAGGACTCCTTGTCCCATTGTTTCTACAACAGCCAAGGCCTGTTGTGTGTACAAGGACTAGGGAGTCTGTTCTTGCTTGCCTGAGAAAGTCGCCTCAGCTGCAGCCTATGATGAGGCTTCAGGCTTGAAGCCGTTGCTGGTTCCATCTGCAGTCAGATGTGAGGAGGGAGGTTCTGCAAAGCCAGCCTTGTCTGCAGAGAGCTCTGCACATCGGTGGGTTTGTGCAGAGGTTGTGAGGCTTGGGATTCTGCGACATTGTTTATGTTATCTTCCCAAACCACTGTCCCTTGCATTCTTGCCTTGCGACATGATGCCTTGTAGTTCCTCTCAGCTGAAAATTGGGAGATTGAGTAGCTGTTAAATGGAGTGCTGTTGTCAGAGGGAGCTGCAGTGTCAGAGTCTCGATCAAATGGACTTGGCACGGGGCTACAATTTAACCCCTCTCTTTTTTCAACCCCCAAGTGAGGTCATTTGGTACTGAAGACCGTCCCACAGATAGGCCTGCTCCCCCAAGAGAGGAAATTTATGAGTACATCATTTTCCGGGGAAGTGATATCAAAGATATTACTGTGTGTGAACCTCCAAAAGCTCAGCACACACTCCCTCAGGATCCTGCTATTGTTCAGGTAAGTGTGTGGGTGTAGTTAATTGGAGAGCTTGGTTTCCACATGGAACTCAGTGTCTGTCATCTGTTTGTCCAGAGTGTTCAACTTGAATTGCCCTCTAATGAACACTGGCCTGGTTTTCATTTAGATGGTCTCTGTTCCTCACACAGCATGTATTGTACTGGGTAGTATGTTGTGTGTGGCAAGGCCAGTAGGAAAAAAGACCTGTAGCTTGCTATGTATGAGGTGGTGGTGGTCTTGCCTGGTGCCGGGGTGCCTAGAACATAGCAGTGAAGCCCTGAGTGGCTTCAGATGTTTTTCGGGATGACAGGAGTGGTTTGATGTCTTAATAGTCTTGTGCAACATTGTTGTAGGACACTAAGCCTTACTGCCTAGTAGGTTATACCCCAGAATTATTAGAAGGGGCATCTAGATTATTCTGTAAATTTAGACCTTGGCTTCTCCAGTGCAGACTCCTCTGGGTTCTGAAATGAAGTTATACTTAGAAAGGGAGGAGCAGGCGGGGATGACTTCCATGGCACTTGGAAGAGCCCAAGTAGATTTCTGAAAAGCTTGGTGGATAGGTATTCAAGGTCCAAAAGGAAGTCAAAGTGGGGGCCATGTGGGAACAGGCCAGTCCTCAAATGAGCAGGCACGATCCTAGATACTTGGGTAGAGAGAGGGAGGAGGGAAGGGGATGGACATTTGGAGATGTGTAGTTTCTGGCCCACTTCTCTTCAAGGGAGCCTTTTCTCCAGCTAAAGGTGGTATTTCCTCATGTGAAAAGGCCAGGCTGGTGTTGGCAGAGGGAAGCTGAGAGGATATTAAGATTGTGAAGAAGTTCATGCCCAGAACTACCTGTCCTGTGAGGAGTGCAGGCTGACTCTTCCCATCTAAGGAGTGCTGTGTGTGGAGACTTACTTGAAGGGTAACTTGAAGGATGTTGCAGTGCTCTTACCTGTGTGTCTCGTTGTTCAGTCCTCCCTGGGCTCTGCCTCCGCCTCGCCCTTCCAGCCGCATGTGCCTTACAGCCCCTTCAGAGGGATGCCACCGTATGGCCAGCTGGCAGCCAGCTCCCTGCTCAGCCAGCAGTATGCTGCTTCCTTAGGTCTAGGTGAGTGACCATTCTGTCTGTCAACTACCTGTGTCTGCCATCACCATAGAATGGAGTCATACAGCCCAAGAGTGGGACAGCTCCTCACATCACACAGCTCCTGACTGGTGCACCTCACTGCTCCTAATAAGCCACCCATCGTGGCTTCAGCTAGGCAGTGTTTAATTTTTCTGACTCTGAGAGGCAGCAGTGTTGATTTTGCACCAGATGATATGAATGAAAATGTTCTTGAAATCAGAAGTTTTGGTGCAGCTGTAGCTTCTTACAGACGAGATCTCTCTGTAGGTCTATAATACTCATTATCTCACTATAGCCTAAGTTAATCTAGTGTAGGAACCCAGCTCAAACATGGTTTTCTATTGAGGCCTGTACCAGTCCTAGACTGAGTGTCTCTGTGTTGGGAGAGAGATCAGCCCTGTCTTTGACTTGGACCTTGAAGCTGCACTCAGGACATAGAGGATTGGCCACTTCTCTCAGTGCTGGGGAGGCAGAGACAGGCAAACCCCCTGAGGTTGGCTAGCTCGAAAGTTAAGCCTCATTAGTGAGTTCCAGGGCAACTCAGAGATTCTGTCTTAAAAAACAAAGTGGATGACACCCAAGGAAGCAACACCCAGGGTTGACCTGTGGCCTCTACATGAATGTGCATATGTACACATGTGTGCTTCCCCCACCCCTAAGAACATAGTCTGCATCTTGTCCGTCCATCCTTGCTCAGACTCCAGCATAAGGCAGCTGAGGCAGGGAATGGTAATTAAGCTATGGACCACTTGCGATTGCAGTTCTGATGTGGCAGGTGACTTCTCAGCCTGGTTCTAAAATACATCATTTGAGAGGTCACTTGGCTCTTTCCAAGCTTGCTAGGCATAAGACAAGTGCGTCCTGACTTATTTGTGTGCTTTCTCTTTGCTCTTCTCTCTCTCTTCTTTAGAGAAGTTGGTAAGCCCTCCAGCCTCAGCCGCTGCTTCCAGCCCTAGTTCCTCTCCATCTCCACAGCCTGTTTCAGAGCTTGACATGTCCTCAGAGCCACCTCAGCTCACTTCCAAGGGTAACAGCAGTTTGGAGAACTAACTGCATGCTGTCATGTAGACTATGAGAGCCAGGGGGTAAACAGCCAGGATGGCAGCAGGTGCTGGAACAGATGCTCTTCCAGGCCCCGGGATCAGGACCTGCTTCTGTTTGGTTCAGCCTGTGGCCTGATGTGTTAATGCCAGCTTTAAAGGCTCAGGGAGTCAGCAGAGCACTTCATTCCTTCTGCTTGGGCTTACGATTTGACCTGTCCGTGGCCATTGCATGGGAAGACATACATAAAACTGTTTCTCTGGGGTTTTCTGAGTCCTAAACATGTTCTGGATTTCTGCTGTGGGAACTTCCTCAAACAACTGGGATGAAATATGAAGTTCTCTTAAGGGCATTGAAGTGGGAGCATGCGTGGCAGCCCCCAGGTGCTTGGTTGCATGAACAATGCCATCTTGAGAGCCAGCTAGCTAGAGTTGCTATCTGCCCACCTATCTCTGCCGATACAGCAGCACTTGCAGGGTGTCTTGACCTTCCTGATGTTCTCGTGCTGATGTTTCTGCATGTCTGTTTTACATGTGGCATCATGCTTGTAGCCAGCTCAAGCCCATCTCAGAGCAGGAGGCCACCTGGGGTCTGGGCATAGAGTACAGGTAGCGTGTGTGTGTGTGTGGGGGGTGGTTATGTCCTGTAGGGCCTCTTTGTATCTGAATTGGGACATACATTACCCTTTCTAATTAAGAGCCATGACTGAGGATACTGGTTGTCTGTAGGATTGCTCACATGATTCTACCCATAGGGCAAATTGTTCTTAGAAAGCACACAAGGGAAGGGGCTGGAGAGACGGCTCCATGGGGAAGAGCAGTTGCTGCTCTTCCAGGTGACCCAGCACCGGCATGGTGATTCACAGCCATCTGTAGCTCCAGTCCTAGGGGATCTGACCCTCCCCCCCTTTCTGGCCTCTGAGGGTACACAGACATACATGCAGACCAAACACTCACCCACACACACAAATACTTTTAAGAACCATACCTACAAGCCACTTTGGTGTGACTGATTCCTGTTTGTCTCTTGGGGTCATTCTTCTGGGTGAGATAATGGGCCTGAGGAAGTAGTCCAGCTCAGTTTCTGTCAGAGAGGGCCTTACTTTTGGGAGCTTGTCCCCGGAGTGCATCTCTGACCTGTGATGGGAGTTACTTTTGGGAGCTTGCCCCTGGAGTGCATCTCTGACCTGTGATGGGAGTTTCTCCACAGCAGTGTTTTCATTTTGTTTCGCCATGACCAGGACTGTTTTACCTGTCACTCCAGTTCCACACCGTCCCTAAGGACTTAGTGTTCCCCATGGGTTACAGGACCTGGGACAGGTCAAGGGGGCAGCAGACTGAAATGTAGCCTTTTACATTTTGCCAATTTCAGGGGATTCATGTTGGGACCACCACCGATAAGTCTGTTTGGGCGTTTCGTGTGATACTGTAGGTATAGTTGCTCACACTGGGCACCTGGTAGCCCATCCTTGATTATGAAGAGCTTTTTACTCTTTGAGAAGCTGTGGGTTGTTAACCTTCATTGCAGTCCGGCCTGGCCACATCTGTTTCTCATAAAGCTGTTGTAGAATTTAATTTTAGAGGCTGACTACTGTACTTTGTAGAAGATCCTGGCCTGGGGTGGTGGTTCTCTAGCATAGACCAGAGTCCCATTTCTTGAATTCTGTTCTTTTCAGGGCCATTGACACCTTCAGGCTTGGTCAGAAGTCCCTAGAAAACCCGTTGGTAAACTTGAGGAAGTCGCCATTGGTATTGGTAGCACAGTGACTTTCCTCTCATTGTAGTTTAACTTGGAACACAAGAATCGGTGCTCCTAGAGAGCTGGGTTTGGTGCCTCCGTGTGACTTAATTTCTTTTGTCACCCGGACCAGCTTCAAAGGGAATGGGCCAGTCTGGGAGAGTAAATCCTGAGTTCTGACTTTTTCTAGACAGTGTGTCACTCCTACCCTTCCCCCAAGGTGCCAGCCACAAGAAATGGCTGGAGGTAGTAAGGTTTCTCCTTTTAGCTATTTCTAAACTTTTCTTCCCTCTTTAACTCAGGAGCTGGTTTTCCATCTACCCCAGTCAGCAAGAGCCCCATGGTGGAGCAGGCTGTCCAGACTAGTTCTGCTGATAACTTGAATGCTAAGAAACTGTTACCCAGCAAGGTCACCTCGGGGACACAGCTCAATGGTCGCCAGGCACAGCCAAGCAGCAAGACTGCCAGCGGTACTTGAACCCTGACTTCCCCTGCAGATTGCTCTGTGTTCCCAATGTCGTACTCACTGGGCATGTTTTTAAAGCATTACCCTCATCCAGACCACATACTTTTGCAAGCAGGCCTATGGGCAGGTGGCCTCAGTACCATAGGGCTGCATGTGGTAGTGGTACTCTGCTTTTGGTGGCTGGGTTCTGGCTTCTGCGGAGCTTTGCCTCACTTTTCCCTTTGCACCTTAGATGTAGTCCAGCCGGCACCTGTGCACACACAAGGGCAGGTGAATGACGAGAACAGAAGACCTCCACGGAGGCGGTCAGGTAACACCCAGGGCCACTCAAGTTGCCTAGCCATGAGCATCAGGCTGTGCTTTGCTTCCTGTGCTGGGAATTTGGGGCTACGTGGGTGCTTCAGTGAGCTGTGCCCCTTTGTCTTCAATGTGTCTGTGAGCTGCTTCTGTGATTCAAGCTGGAAAGAAGTTGGTGAATTCAGCCATGCTGTTTATTTTCTACATAGGCAATCGGCGAACAAGAAATCGCTCCAGAGGGCAAAACCGTCCAACTAATGTTAAGGAAAACACAATCAAGTTTGAAGGTGACTTTGATTTTGAGAGTGCAAATGCCCAGTTCAACCGAGAAGAGCTTGATAAAGAATTTAAGAAGAAACTGAATTTTAAAGGTCTGATTCATTTGAAAGTTATCCCCCAAGAGAATCCCTAGAGCATGCTAGGACAGAATGACTGGCATTACTCTGCAGTGAGCTGGGAGTCCTGACCAATGTGGAAATTGGAATAAACTCTGAGGCATAGATGAGGGGCTGGGGCGGGTTTGTGATACTTGTGACTTGCTGTGAGAGGAAAGAATGTTTGACGTGAAACGTTTAGGTCATTCTCTGAGCCTGAGGACAGCTGCAGAGTGGACCCCCAACAGGAGACCAATTGGGTAGTGTTTGTTTCTGGACCTTTGTGCTTTCCGTCTCCTTGTAGATGACAAGGCTGAGAAGGGAGAAGAGAAGGACCCAGCTGTGATGACCCAGAGCGAAGAAACTCCGGCTGAGGAAGATCTTCTGGGGCCCAACTGTTACTATGACAAGTCCAAGTCTTTCTTTGACAACATTTCTTCTGAACTCAAAACAAGGTAAGGGCCTAAGTGCACTGTGGACAGGATGGCTGTTTGTAAGTCCTAGAAGCACAAGACTAAAATATACTAACAGTAAATCTAAGCTTTGAGCTTATTTTCTACATAATATTTCTACATGATAACTACAAGAGTCCCAGCTGGGTCTGTCCATGCCATCTAGGATGTAGTGCCAGAACCCTGTGGCTGCCCCTAACCTGGTTAGGACTTGCTGAGGTCAAGTCCTTGCACCCCCTATTTGCCTACAAGAGACCCGTTTCTGCTGTTCTTTCTTGCCTCCTCTGCCTCCTGGCATGGATACAGTTAAGCAATTGCTTGAGCTCCCCGTCCTGGAAGTCGGTGATTATGACTGACGTGTGTCAGCACTGTAGATGAGCACCCCTAGACTGTATGGTGAACGTCAGAGCAGGCATGGTGTGCAAACACAGCTCAGGAGTCCTGTTGGCTGAGCATTGGGCACACTGCCAGCCAGCTGTTGAAGAATGGGTCATGATCTGGGTAGCCTAAGCTATGCACACGTATTCGGGGAGCAATTGAAGCAAGAAAGACAAGCTAAGAGGAGGACTTAGGCCCAGCTGTATCGTGTAGGAGGGGTGTGGCCAGGTCTCAGCAACAGCTGTAGGAGTTAGGAAAGGGATTTCCCAGTGAAGCTGGAGATGTACACATGGCTGGGCATCTGACTGGGCAAGGGACAGTATTGACTACGTTCTAGCAAATAAACAGCCAGTCAGGAGCAGCTTGGTGACAGTGACTGAAGATTGGCTCCTATGGAAGCTGGATGGCTCAGCTGGATTCAGCTAGAGGATGGTGACTTTGTGGCAGCAGGAAGGGCTGGGGTTGTGTTTTTGTGTGGGCTCTTAGGGCTTTGTTTACTCTTGGAGATGCAGCATCAGGGTGTGTCCCCGCCTCTTCAGCTCCATGGCTGTAGCTCACCCTCCTTCCTCTCTGCTGTTTCAGAAACTGTAGTTGTTGCCCACTACAGTCAGATTTTTTTTGATGTTGCTTTTCAAAAGAGGGTTTCCCTGGGTAGACCTTCTTCTGCCTCCCTAGTGCTGGGATAAAAGGTGTGCACCACCGCAGCCCAGCTTATAGTCAGATCTTAACATGCCTTATGTTTTGGTTTAGTTCTAGGCGGACAACATGGGCCGAAGAGAGAAAGCTGAACACCGAGACCTTCGGGGTATCTGGGAGGTTCCTTCGTGGCCGCAGTTCACGGGGTGGATTCCGAGGAGGTAGAGGCAGTGGGTCGACACGGCGCAACCCCACGTCCCACCGAGCTGGGACTGGCCGGGTGTGAGGGTGCAGTTCAAGTGAGTGGGAAATGGTCTGCACCCTTGGGCAGGGTGTGGTGGGGGGAGCGGATCTGTCTGCTCGAGTGCCCTATGTAGTGCCACGTAGGATGTGGCGAGCCAGAGTTTCCTACCTCTACTGCCTTCTGGTCCCCAGGGTGGTGAGGAAATCAGATGTGTCATGTACCTGTTGGACACAGACTTCCTATCCTGTCACAGGGTTCTGAAGATAAAGACCCAAGGAAACGCTACACTCACCGAGAGACGTGATCTTGTTTACCAAGTCTGGACACCCTCATACTACTTGGCTTTGGGGACTCAACCTAAACTTGGATGTGGTCTGATTAGAACCACTTGTTTTGGGGGAAGTATTTGTAGGTGATCTCATGAAGGTATCTTGACCTACATTTTCTTCTTGGTTGCACACAGCCTAATTGTAAGGTTTTGGTATTTTGCAAAAAGGTTTCTATAGGCAAAGGCTCAGTCCTCACTTTGTAACTTTTTTTTTTTTTAATGACAGCTTTGACTCTGAAAATGGAACCAAATTTTATTTGGCACAGTGTGGTGTCCAAATGTGTCTCTGCAACCCATCTGGCCCCTGGTGCTGCTGGCCTGGTACCCCATCTGCTAACAGTGGGAAGTCTCAGGATCCAGGCAGGGCCAGCACAGGGTGATCCAGTCATAGGGGTGGGAGGGTCAAGGGTAGGGAAGGGGGTGGTGTTTCATGGATCATGTTGTATAATGAACCAGTGATGTTCCGTGTTGGAGGCTGACGGGATGAGTAAATAGGAAGGGCCCCCCCAGTGTCATGTAGAGCCTGGCTTCCACAGGTACTGAGGCTTTGTGTTGAAGTCCAGGACAAGCCCATGGGGTGTGACCGACCTTCCTGTCCTTGTCTGCCTCTAGCCCAGGCCTCTGGCTGCACTTAAGTGTTCTCATCTACTTTGAAATGAGCCAGTCTTTTTTTTTTTTTCCCCTTTTAAGGTCACTGGCCTTATTTCCTCGATTGTAAATAGTTCTTGTGTGTTTATTTTAAAGGTGGTGGAGGGAGGGTGGGAACATAAATTTGTTGCATGAGAAAGTGGGTCAGATTTTCTGTATGAGCATGCATCCATCCTCTGACAGGGCATTTTGTTGAAAACAAGCACCTTGATAACCAAAACCCCTTCAAATAGCTACAACGCTTTAGTTCTGTATTGATGAAGTCACATTGCAAAAGCTTGGGTTTATTTTTGTAGGACTTCATAGCTGAAGATAGAACACGGTACTGGGGCTACTGTTGGGGTAATGCAAACTAAATAAACATTGGAACCTTGAGACGCTGCCTCACTGTGTCATGTCTGGGGCCCACCCAGAGGCAAGTACTAGTCAAACCAGTACACCTTGGCTAGTTAGAATGGAGGGACTAACAGGGTACCATATGATGTGCCGGAACGTGACTTAGTGGTCATAGATGAAGAAGGCTGGTTCTCACTGGGCTATCTTGCTACGGTTAACACCCATTCTAGTGCTGATGAAAGCTGCCTTAGCTGCAAAGAACCTTGCTATGCTGTAACAGTTCCCGAGTATTGAAGGCAGTCCTTTAAGAGCAGATACATGGTCAACGGATCAGATGACACTCTTGGTATGTGTCAGGTCAGAGGAGCCTGCAGGAGGCAGGTGGCTTCGGCACCATAGATTATGTAATAAAAACATGTACTACATGTAAGCAGCTTTGCATCCTAAACCAGTTAAATTGGTTTTTCTCTGCCAAGTTACAGCTTGTAGACGTTATACTAGGCATAATTTTGACCCAAGAGTCTCCTTTTTACCAAACTGGTTGGGGGGTGGGGGAGTAGGGCAAGGGGCAGCTGTAAGCTAAAGCAGATGGTAGAATGACAAACTGGCTAGGAAGCCAAGAGGAAGTACATCTAGCCAAAAACAAAACAATACACCCACAGTGATATTTAAGGAGAAAACTTGACAAATAGCGAAATGTAACCTGAGTACCAAATTGTTTGGGGGAGGTTTTAACTATGTAGCTTTTTGTTTTTGAGACAAGGTTTCAATTGTAGCCCTTGGCTGGTCCTGGTCTGGAAAGCAGGAGATCTGCCCGCCTCTGCGTCCTGAGTGCTGGGTTTAAAGGTATACTGTACTTTAAAGGTATACACCCACCTTGCTCTTTAAGGTCCATTTGGTGTATGTGTATATAACTATCACATTCACGACCTGGGATCAGAGTCATCCCATGAGTGCTGGGAACAAAACCCAGGTCCTTTGGGAGAGCGCCAAGTGTTCTTAAGCACTGAGCCGCCTTCTTATGTGCCAGGCCAGAGGAGCTGTTCCACTGACCTAGCAATGCTGCCAGTCACAGCTCTGCAGACCTGCGTTGTCTGAAAGAACAACCGTGGGTCCGCTGTACCCTTTGGCAGATATCCCAAGAGTAGAACAAGGCAAACAAAGATCCCACAGCTACAGCTGCACCCAAATGACGTGTTGTCACCACAAGAAAGAGTTAGAAAAGGTAGACGTTTATTGGGCTCGGACAAGCAGACAGAAAGCTCAATACCGAGGCTGGAAGCTGCTCTACCCAATGTGCACTTCATCAGGATGCTTTCTTCTGTTTCTTCTTTTCATTTTCTTCCTTTTCTTTCTCAATTTCCGCAACATACTTCTCGATTTCTTCAGGGTTTAGAATCTACCCAGAAGCACATTCATGATTAATTTCTGCACAAGGTGGGAACACAGAACCACCTGGCAGTGCAACTAACTACAGCAGCCTCTATGCCAGCACACAGGAGCGCACTTCCTTGACTGAATGGAATCGATGGAGAATGTTCTTAGACAAAGGCAGGGAGCTAATGCCACCGTACAACCATGACCAGGGGAGGGTTTCATCCAAAGCATTCAGCCTTGCAGGCTGAGAAAATACTACCAGTAAAGCAGGTCTGTGTTAGTACACATCTGTGACCTAGGACGACTGGGTATGTAAGGTAGGAACTCTCCTCTATCTGAACCCTTCCAACCAAAGGGAGACTTACCTTGAGGGGCTGATCCCTCCTCATGACAGCAAGTTCAATGTTTTTGCCACCTGACTGGACCACCTTGAAGAAGGCAAAGCGTTAGGTGTGTCTGCCCTCACACGGACCTAAAATGTGGTTCATGGCTAAGCCTGCCGGATGGGAGGGTGAACCTGTTTCTTGCCCCGGATCCAGTTGTGTCAGGCTTGCTCAGGATGCCTATGTAACACGGGGACACAATGCCTGTGTTTCTATCTACTGTGGCTTCGCCTGCTTGCATCCTACTTCCCTGACTGAGCACACAAGCCTCTGTAAGGCCCAGTCACCTGAACGGGGAACTCCACGCCTCAGCCCTGTCTCTCAAGTTCTGCCCTTAGGCAGCAAGCCTTGTTGACTGTCCCAGACACAAAGAGGCACCAGCCACACCATCACTCCTAAAGACACAGCAGGGCCTCCCTGCCTGAGGTTTCCCATGTGCACTTACTTCCAAAAGTGCCTTGATCACTAGTTTGATGGTCAGATCATCGGTCTCGATGGCATCATCAGTATAGTTCTTCTCCAGGAACTCACGCACTGACTTGGCGCCCCGGCCTATGGCATTGGCCTAAAACATACATGTCTTAGTAGAGCCAAGTCTATGTGGCTGGCCAATGGCTACTGCCTTCCATGGCCTGCAATTGGCTCTCCAGCAGTGGTAGGTGATGGCACAGACCCAGATCCTACCTTTAAGGTTATTAGTACTGGTGTTGATCCTTACCAAGAATGAAGTTCTTTCAATCAAGAGACACTTAGGGAGATTTCAATTTAGGCCCTCTTTGAGTCAATGCCAAAGAGTAATGTAGAATGTAAGTGCTATGGAACTATGCACATAGAACTAAGCTGAGAGGTTATCATCTGTTTGCTAATGTCAGCTTAGAGTCTGCCTACAGCCCAAAGTCCCACTGTTTGCAAACAGACTTACCTTCCAGGCATGGTATGTGCCTGAGGGGTCAGTCTGGTAGAGTCTGGGGGTGCCATCAAAGTCAAATCCCACAATGAGGGCAGAGATGCCAAACGGCCTGCGCCCATTGCTCTGTGTGTAGCGCTGGGAAGAAAAGTGAGCCACAATGCTTAATGACAACAGAGAAGTAAGCCTATCCCAAGCGACCTGCAATTGGGGTGGTAAGGAAACTGAGAACAGCTGTCAACATTTCCTTTTTCCTCTCAGACACGCTAGGACTGGAGATGTATTCTGCATCTTTTTTAAAAAGATTATGGATGTGTATTTGCCTGCATGTATGCGTACCACATGGGTGCCTGGTGTTGGGGGGGCCGGTTCTCCTGCAAACGGAGTTACAGACTGTTTTAAAAGTTTTTTTTTTTTTTTTTTTTTTTTTTGGTGGGTGCCTGGAGTTGAACCGGAGTCCTCAGAAAGAGCAGCCAATGCCTTATCTGCTGAGCCATCTCTCTAGCCCCTGCTGGAAGTCACCTCAATACAGGCAGACATGTTCCAGCTACTACCTGGCTCTAAAGTTTACTACATCTTACCGCAGAGTGGGGGTGCCTTTCAGCCCTTGCTCAGCTGTGTGGCAAATGGTAGCAAGATAAATGCTACCTGAGTCGCGATGGCTCCAAGCCAGAAGAATCAATAGCAGCCCCCTGACCGTGCTGCCCACACAAGCCCCTACCTGCTTCAGACTGGCGATGTAGCGGGTGATGTACTCCACGGTGACTGGGTCCTCCACAGTCAGCCGGTGGCTCTGGCATTCCACCCGGGCTCTGTTGATAACTATCCTTGCATCTGCAGTGAGGCCTGAAACAGGAGCAGAGGCTTCGTCAGGGCGACTCCTTGCTACAGCTGAGCACAAGGCTGGCACACCTGCCTCTGCAAGCCCTTCTAAGAAGCAAGCGCACAAACAACTGGGAATCAAGTTACTCGGCTCCTCACTTCCTTTCAGGAAACTGAGGCTTCCTAGGCCGAAGGAGGTAACTGTGACGCCAGTGATGGCAAGGGAGGCCCACTGGCACCCAGCAACTCCATTCTCTCTTAAAGGTCTCAGTTTAACCAGTTTCCATGCATCAGTCACCCATCCCCACCAACTGGTACCACAGTTCATGCGCCACCCTGACCCAGCCTGTACCTGCAAAGGCCATGCAGACATTATCGTCCAAAGCACAGATCTTCCGCACCGTTCTTTCATCTTGTAGCTTGGCCACTGATTTTTTTTCCACACCAAGAACAACAATGTCCCTTCCTCGAACACCAACCTTAAGTGGGAATGCAAAAGTCACCTTTAAGAAATTATGTAAGTGGCTGGGGAGTGACAGAGCGAATTCCGGGAAAGGCTCCAAAGCTACAGAGAGGAACCGTGTGTGTGTGTGTGTGTGTGTGTGTGTGTGTGTGTGTGTGTGTGTTGGGAAGGGTGATGCTTTGTTTACATAAGTAGGGGCTGGAGAGATGGCTAGGCAGTTAAGAGCAATGGCTGCTCTTCCAGAGTTCCTGAGTTCAATTCCCAGGAACCACATGACAGTTCACAACCATCCTTATTGAGACCTGGTGCCCTCTTCTGGCTTGCAGGCATACATGTAGACAGAATACTATACATAATAAATCAATTGAATTAGCAGAAGCAGGCGGATCTCTGAGTTCCAGGCCAGCCTGGTCTACAGAGTGAGTTCTAGGACAGCTACGCTGTTATACAGAGAAACCCTGTCTTGAAAAACAAACAAAAAGGAATTACATAAGCAGAGCGGCTGTTAATCTCTGGCACAGTTGAGTGGGAGGAGTTAGCTAGGTACACGGGGCAAGAGTCCCACAGGAAAGTGTGCCTACCCACACCTGGTCTATCACTTGACACTCTGTAACCACACCAAGGAAGGAGGTCTGAGGTTATCAGGCCCCGAGTGTCCAATCTCATGCCTTTAAAACACTGCAGCGGTTACAGTTATAATGGAGCTAAATAGTCCTGCACAAGACCCCCAGGCCTAATACATAATAAAGTGTGCATGAGATGATGCTGGAAGCCCGAGCTGCACTCAGTCCCAGGACACAATCATGCCTGTTCAGGCCACACACACTGCTGGTGGGTCCTAGCATGTTACAAAGTGAACCACTACCCACTGTTACTTTAACTCATCAGTCCCTGATCATGCCTGGTATTATAGAAGGGAGGAGGGGCCACTGTTTAACTGAATCAAACAAAACACAATAAACCCCATACCTCACTGCCATTTAACCTTTCAATCAAGGGAGGGACAGAAACAGACACCCCTCAACAAGGCAGCTGGGCACTGTTCCCAATCCCATGGATGCCGGAAACTTCTACAAGGTCCGAGCAAGGGAGAAGCTGTCCACACTGCCCCTGGTCTGTTGTGCTGATTCCTGTGACCTGCTGGGGTTCAGCAGGCATCCCCAGATTCCAGAGTTTTCCTATGGCTTTGTGTGTCCCTGGAGGCCAGAGGTCCACAACAGTGTCTTCCTCCCCTCCCTCTCTTCTCCAAAGTCAAAAGTGGTTTCATTTTTAAATATGCTGTGTCTGTGCCAAAGATGCTGACACGCCCCCTCCCAAGCCCAAGCTGGAATTCAAGGCAGTTTTGAGCCTTAAAACTTGGGCACTGAACACTCAGCTCAGCCCCATCCCTCCAGCCCCTCCTACCTAACGTTTTCTAAGACAGGGGCTCTCACTGAACCTGGAGCTCAGAGATTCTGCTACACCTGCTGGCCAGCAAGCCTGGGGCACCCTCCAGTCTCTGTGCAAGGGTGTTTGTGGACCATTTGTTTATGCAATGAAGATGTGTCTTTGCCTAAGGTGCCTTCTGACTCCTTTAATAAAGAGGTAAATGGCCAATAGCTAGGCAGGAGAGACTAGGTGTGACTTCCAGGGAGAGAGGAGGGAGAGAGGAGAGAGAGAGGAGAGAGGGGGGAGGGAGAGAGAGAGAGAGAGAGAGAGAGAGAGAGAGAGAGGAGAGAGAAACTGGGAGAAGGAATCTAGGCACCAATGATTTTGTGCAGCAGTAAGAGGCAACTGAGCCGCACAGCAGAATATAGACTAAAAAAAACCATATGGGTTAATTAAGTTATAAGAGCCAAGCTTTCATAATTAAAAGTCTCCAAGTCATCATTGTGGGCTAGCAGTCCCAACGACAAAGTACTGCTTCATTTGTGGAGCACCAAATGAGGTTTTTTCTGTCCGCTTAGGAGCCGCACATGAGTCTACTGATATTTTAATTACTGACCGGCCACTCCTGGCAGGGCTTCTGGTCCTGTACCCTGGCTGTTACAGTTGCCATATGTAGGTTTAAATGAAATCTCTATGGATCTATTTATCAATAAGACCCCAAAGGCTGGGGTGAAAATCCGGTAGCTCAGGGAGGCTGAGGAGCAACTAACTTGACCTTGCTTTATGACTGGAGATGACACCTCAAGCGATGCATATCTTCCCTCCTCCCAGGAACAAAAAGAAGCTCAAACTCCAGTCCTGGCTTTCCTCCTTTCCTTCCTGTAAGTCCTCTGTATCGAAATTGCTTGCTTATGGCTAATTCCGGTCAGCTAGTTGCTGGCTCCGCCCCCTGATTCAAGGTAAACTTTATTGACAGTGTGACCAAAATATGCCACCACAATGGGGGGTAGCTGAAATGAGGTCTTCAGGCTTGTAAAGCAAGCCAGCCCTTCACCAACTTAGCTGTCCCACCAGCCACACAGGTGTTTGTTACTGTCGTTTTTTCCCCAAGATGGGGTTTCTCTGTAGCTTTGGAGTCTGTCCTGGAACTCACAGAGATCAGCCTGTCTCCGCCTCCAGAATGCTGGCATTACAGGTGTGTGCCACCACCGCACAGCTGGGTCTTTTAAAAAGGGCATCACTAGTTGTATCTCTTGGGGCTGGAAAGATGGCTCAGGATTTAAGAGAACCCGGGTTCAATTCCCAGCACCAACACGGCAGCTAAACTATCCACAACTCCAGGTCCAGGGGATCCGACAGCCTCACACAGATATACATGTAGACACAAACGCCAATGCACATAAAAAATAACTAACAATTCATACATAAACACAAAGAGAGATTCTCTTCTAGAGGCCCAAGCTGGCTTTGAACTTGAGATTTTCGAGCCTCAACCTTCCAAATGCCAGGATTGTTACAAGCCTGCCCCTCCAAGTCTGCTCACTGTATAGAGGTTTTTTTTTTTTTTTTTTTTTTTTTGAGGGGGGGTTAATTCACCAAAAGATTTGGGACATTGGTTTCAAAGAGATTAAGTACTTGGGAAATGCAAGCGCTTCAAGTCTCAGAACCACGTGTGTTTCCCAAAGACCCGGTGACTGAGGAAAAAGGGAAACACAGGACTGTGTCACTGTTGTCGCTTGCAGGTGTCGGGCGATCCCGTTTCCAAACGGTGCTAAGGCCCCCGAGCAAAAACTGGGGCGCGGCGAGAGAGGCCCACCGGAACCAGAGCTCAGCGTCGGTGGATGGAGCAGGCGAACCCGGAAGCAGCCCGTCCCCGTCGCAGGGCCGACGAACCGCCCTTTGTTCACCACGCCCGTCTGGCCTAGCTGGGAGATCCCCAAGTCCCCGCCGGCGCCGGCTCGCAGCCCCCCACCTCCCGCGAGCTCCTGCGGCCTCCGTCGCCCGCGCCGCGCCGCGCGTACAGCACCAAGATGGCCCCGGGCCGGAGGCGGGGATGCGCTCGCCGTGACGCTCTGCAGCGCGCAAGCCTGGCACAGCCACCCGGCTCTCCGGGAGCACGGTGCGGTCCCCGCGGCCCGGCTTCCTTCCTAGGTCGCCACCATTCGGCTCCCGTCACCTCCCGGGCCCCCGCCGCAAGCGGAACGCGGGGCCCCCCGCTCCCAGGTCTGCGTGCCCAGCTTCCCCGTGCGCCCCGCCTGCCGCGCAGGCCTCGCTTGGGCCGGCTCACCGCAGTGGAGCCCTTCTTGACCGCCTCCTGCGCGTACTCCACTTGGAAGAGGTGGCCGTCGGGCGAGAAGACGGTGATGGCGCGGTCGTAGCTCATCCCGGCGGACGCGCGAGCTAGGGCCGCCGCCGCTCAAAAGCGCACACTCACCGCTTGCGCCCCGCCCGCCCGGGCCACGCTGCTGGCGTCCGCGGCGTCAGGCGTCAGGGGGACGTGCGGCGCGGCGCGGCGGGGCGGGGCGCGGCGGGGCGGGGCGCCGGGGCGGGCGCAACCACCGAAGCCCGGCGCAGGGGGCGGCGCGGCGGCGGCGGGCTGCACGCAGAGCGCAGGCCGTGCAGCGGGGGGCTCGGCGCGGGGTCCAGTCCCGGAAGGCAGCGGCTTACGGCGCGGGGACGCGGGAGGCCCAGGCGCGCGGCGGCGGCAGGCGGGCGGGCGAGCCCACGGCACGGCATCCCCCGCGCCCCCGCCCCCGCGCTGCGGAGAATGGGCACCTCGGGCCGCGGGGCGCAGCCGGAGAATAAACCCCAATGATCACGGGCTGAGTCCGCGCTGCCACCATGTCCGTGGCCTTCGCGTCGGCGCGGCCGAGAGGCAAAGGGGAGGTCACCCAGCAGACCATCCAGAAGGTGGGCAGGGCCGCGGGGGTGCGGGGTGAGGGTGGGCGCGGGGCGCGAACAAAGCCGGGGCACAGCCCGGCAGCCGGAGCCCTGACGGCGGCCCCGCGCGCCCCCAGGAGAGCCTGCGCCAACTTTGCCCGAGGCGCTGGCAGCGGGGGCCCGGCGGCCGCGGGGGGTGGCGACCCCGGAGCGCGTCGCGCGGTGTCCTCAGAGAGCGCCCCTGTCAGCAGACGCAGCAGTGCGGGACGCCGGGGCCCGCGGCCCCTCCAGCCGGGGCGGGGGCTCGTCGCGCTCCGCTGACAGCCTTGGTGGCGACGGTCGCGCGCCTTTGCGCGCAGCTTGGCGGATGGAGAAGGGGGCGCGGGCAGCCTGGTGGCGCGCCGCTGCGGCGAGCTGGCCACTGTCGTGAGGTACTGCGGTCCCCGGCACAAAGGGACGCATCAAAAGTGTGCGTGCCATTCCCACGGCCCGCAGCGAGGTCCCCAGCTCGCTGCACGCGGTGGACTTGGGGCCAGCGCAGCCCCGCCCCCGCTGTGGTCACTGGGCATCAGCGAGCCCCGCCGCTGCCCGCACCCTGACTTCTGACGACCGAGATTTCGTCCCACAGTCTCGGCCCCATCCTTTAGCTCGGGCTACTTACTGTTTTCCAAAGAAGGCGTTTGCTTGCGTGGGTTTGAGGACATCTGTAACAAAAGCTTTAACTTTTGACCGGAACACTCTAGCTTTTTCCTGGTTGTCTTTCGGTTCGGAACGTCTTCCCCTACGCTCTGGCTTTTCTCAGTTCGGGTTCCTCCTACAGAAGAATTTCTGAATCCCCTTGACCCGCTGTAGGTCCCCAAGGGCCTTGGCTTGTGGGTAGTTCCTCAGTTTGTCACCTGTTTCCCAGCTCACCCTTGCTATCCTGCCTCTCTGGAATATAATGGTTGTCACAATTGGCAAGCCCTAGTTAGTGAGCTTTGGACAGGGGAGATGATTGGAGCGGAGCAGAGCAGAAATACAGGTTTTCAAGTGTGGGTTTGTTTTTCCAATTATTATTGTTATTGATTTTGTGAAAGCTGTTATTCGATGGTGTTTCTAGGTTTTATAGATCTTATCACTTTTAACTTTTTTTTAAGTGACTTGGGGAAGGAAACTGAGGCTACAGAGGCCAAGTGATAGAGGTAGCAGCAACAGCAGCTGTGATAGCTCCAGGGGCTGCTGTACCTGTGCCATGGGTTAGGAACCCTGTTTGATGGCGTGTGGAAGACCCTACAGGATACTGAAAATCTGACCGCTGGAGCTTGACAGTCACTGTACTGGGAGCCACCTTTGGCTGGCTTCAGTATTTGTCCAGAATCTTGTGGGCACACCTGCTCATCGAAGCTCCTTGGCTTCTCCAGGAACATCTCCCAAACATCAGATCACAAAGAGGGGAAAATTGCTGACCCCAGTTCGGGTCAGAAACGGCCTGTGCGCCTTTGGAAGCTGGTCTTCAATTCCCTCTGTTAAGGTACTTTACTCTGCAAGTTCAAGGGCAGCCCCAGCCATAGAGCAAGACCCCGTATCAAGCCAGGGGCTAGCGATACAGCTTAGTGGTAGAGCAGTGATCTAGCATTCACAAACCCCAAACTGCACCTTAAGTGAGTGTATTATGTACACAGTCGTGTGTGCCAACCTGCCCATGCTAAGATCATGGGGAAAGGCCAGAGCTCCTAAGAGGAGCAAAGAAAGTAACAGCTTGTCCCCAGAGTGACAAGTCTTGCTCAGCCTGCAAAGTCCCACACCAGCGTGCCCTCCTAATCTTCTCTCAACAGTCACAAGGCCACTGTAGGAGGCATTGTTTGTGGCATGTGCGTTAGCATGTGACTGAGATGTTCACTGCTAGTTTTGCGTGGGACTTGGACGCAGCTAGTGTACCCTACGCACAGTAGAATGGAGGCATAGGTTCTGCCTAAGCGAATGCAGTAGTGGCCACAATTTCCCCAGACAGAAGTCTTTATTCACTCACTCACGTTGTCGAGGTGTGAAGGAGTGGCTGCCTGCCTGCCTGCCTCCCTACTGTCTGTCTGTACTTCCATCCTGCAGTTCTGAAGGAGGCTGCCTCAAACCTCCTCAGCCTCTGATGGCTGCCAAAGCCTTTGGTGCCTTTGCCTGCAGCAAGGTCTCTGTTCTCCCCTCCCTGAATCTCCTTGTCTGTGTTTCTTCCTTTCAAACGGATAATGGTTACCCATTAATTTGCAGATGTCCCACTTCACAAGTTTAGATGTTTTGTGGGGTCAGGAAATTTGAGCGAGCCACAAGTAGTTCTAGATGTGATCTGCATGCAGGGGATGTGGGGGGTGGGAGGGAGGGGACCCAGAGTGGAAGCCTGGAGAGCTGGTCCGACCTGAAGCAGGTACCTCGTGTGACAGAGCACTGGCACCTGAGAGACACGTCAGAACTGTGCTTTGCTGAGGACAGTGTGGCCAGGTGTGCCCGGGATCCTGAGACTGAGTGGCAGCTGGCTGGTGCCTTCACAGGCGCCAGTGACCCAGGGCCAGCCCCGCCTTCCTCTCCACTAGCTAAAGGCCATACTACACCCGTGTCTCGCACTGCGCTCCCGATACAACCAGGCTGGTACAGGGCAGTGATTCCCCGTGTCTGCAAGCCTATTAGAGGGACAACTGGACGCCCCCTGCTGTTTCACACAACAATTACACAATAAAAGCTGCATATCTGAGGCTGATCGTGTCAGCTCTATAATTAGCATTAGCGCAGTTGCACATGCCACAGTGACCATGGAGCCGTCGGAGCATGACTTTGTGAAGTCTGTTCCTTCTCTTTTTACATGGGTTCCAGAGGGTGAGCTCAGATCTCCAGGTTTGCATAGCCAATCCAGTTAGGGAGGTAACTTGGCCACTTGGAAAGTTAGAGCTGTCCCCACAATGGTGAGTGGCTTGTCGAAGTGAGTGGCAGGATGATGGATGGCTCTTGGATAGCTGCTCTTGAGCAAGAGTCCTCCCTACGGGAGCACGGAGCCTCTGTGCCCATCCCTGGAAGGGGGAGGGAATGATGTCCCCTCATTACTCAGTCTGGAGCCCACCTCCAGATAGGAACAGTCCTTTGGTTTCTTCGCCTTCTGTCAGGCAAGGGACCACCCTGCAGGGTTCTCAACCTGAGCCCTGCTTCCTCGGATGGGGAGAACAGGGTTCTTAGGGAACCTACTGCTCAGTGAAGCCCTCTCTGCTCAATGAAGCTTGGCAAGAACACTCCTACTGAACATTCCCGAGAAGGCAGGCATCTATCTGTAGCCAAAGGCTGCCAGCCTTTACATTTGTTCCGCAGGCTACAGGGAAGACACCTGGGACAGGATTCAGTGTCCCCTACCTCCTCATACCCCTCTCCTTTGTGGACCTTTGCAGAGAACACCTACACTCTTTGGCACATGGCACTCTGCCCTAGGCATGTCCCTAGATTTCTGGGCCAGTGGGCTTGCCTAGCGCCTATCTCTGTGCGTGGAGCCTCGGGGCCACTTCAGGAAGTCCCTAAGCTACGGGCAGTGAACACACTGTGTCCAGCAGGTCCACTAAGCACTAGGTATGACCACCAGCAGGTACAGGAGGCGAGGAAATGCTGTCTTGAGGCATCAGAGCCTAGTGTGTGGCTTGTGAAAGAGGTGTGAGCGCTGAGGGAGACGGATTATGGGGTGCTGTGTCGGACAGGCGGTGGTCAGGAGCCCTTTGTGCTACTTTTCAAATTGTGCCTGTTTTGAATCATGTGTATGAAGGGTCCCCTGGGCTGCAGGAGAGCAAAGCATGGCTCCTCCAGCTTGGCAGCTGGATCATTTCAGGGTAATTTGGCACGGACTCTGTCGGAAGTGGCAGAAAAAAAACGATGTTGTAGGATGTTTTTTTTTTTTTAACTATGTAAAGATGAGTTGGTTGTTTCAGCTCATCTGCCTAAGGCATCTGATTGGTCTAATAAAAAGCTGAATGGCAGCTAGGCAGTGGTGGTGCACGCCTTTAATCCGAGCACTCGGGAGCAGAGGCAGGTGGATCTCTGTGAGTTCGAGGCCAGCCTGGTCTACAGAGTGAGTTCCAGGACAGGCTCTAAAGCTGCACAGAAACCCTGATTCAGAAAACCAGCCTGGTCTACAGAGTGAGTTCCAGGACAGGCTCTAAAAAGCTGCACAGAAACCCTGATTCAGAAAACCACCAGCAGCAGCAGCAGCAACAAAAAGGCTGAATGGCCAATAGCTAGGCAGTAGAGGAGAAGATGGATGGAGAGAAGAAGTAGGAGGAGGAATCAGGCTTGAGGAGGGGAGGGAAGTAGAGAAGGAGAAGCCCAGGGCCAGGCAGACAGCTGCCAGGCAGACACAGAGTAGGACATACAGAAGGAAAGGTTAAAAAAAAAAAAAAGCCCTGAGTGAAAGCGCAGATGAAGAGAGATGGGCTAAAATAAGTTATAAGAGCAAGCAAGAAATGAGCCCGAGCCAAGGCCGAGCATTCATAATAATTTTCATGTATTTATTTGGGAGCTGGTTGGTGGCTCAAAGGAAAGGCTGCTACAAAACTGGCCAGTCCAGAATCTTGTCAAGGGACAGTTTCTGGCATGCAGTTCAGGTGCATCTGAACATGCTAGATTTTATCGTCACTTGCCATCTGTGTGTCTTTCCTCAGCGAGGAGGATGATTGGACTGTGCTGAGCTGTGCTAACTCAATATTCTAAGCATTCAAAGATGTACAGAATTGACGTGTGTTGTCCCAGGAGGGTGGAGCTATATTATCTCTGTGCTCACCTATTTTACTGTGTGTGTGTAGTCTTTACAGACTGGACATGTGCTAAGCGTGGTTGTGAGACTATGAGGCCGTACCTCCCATGTGTCCTGCCCGCATGTGCCCTCCAGACAGCTTTGACGCTAACACAGCCAATTCTCCCACCATGGGGTGAACATTGCGAGGTTGGCTTCTAGCGGTAGGTCTGCAGTATTCTCCTGGAAGTGCCCGTAGGTTAGTCGTCAGCCTTCTGGAAATATCCTCAAATCACGAACCTCTGCAGTGGGCAGTGTCTCGGTTATTTTCCTCCTGACCTGAGAGGAAGCAACTTAAGAGATCCCAGGTTATTTCCCTTTACAGTTTAAGGGTTTAGCCATGGTGGCAGCTGAGGGTGCTGTGTGACCTGGGAAGACACAACACTCACATCTACTCACCCCAGAAAGGGGGTCCACAAAAGACTTTGTGTCAGTGTCCAGCTGAGTGCTGTTGCGGTTGCTTACAGACGTAGATGGATGAGGGGATGCTTACGGAAGTAGAAGTAACACAGAAGCCTCCTCCGCGTTGCCGGCGGCTCACAGAGCGGAGCACACTGCACAGGTGCCGGCAGCTCAGCAGGCTGGAGCGAGCCTTTCCAGATAGTTGATGTGAGTGAGTCTTTCTAGATGGGTGGGCTTGTCTGACAGTCTTTCAGCTGTCCTTACTGCTGACAGTAAGGACAGACCTCTGGAAATTCTGGTCAGTTTCAGGGACTTCCTGAAAGCTCGAGTTGACTTCCTGTCGTAAGGAGCTTCCCAGCAGAATGGAGTTTCACTCCCCTTTTGTGTCCCAGGCTTGAGGGTTTTTCTCTGGGATGGGGATGCCATGAACATTTGTGTTCAGCTTGCAGTCTCCTTTTTACTCACCACTCACAGTGTGTGTGTGTGTGGGGGGGGTCCTTCTCATCAGTGCAATCTAGATAACCCTTCAGTTCTAGGCCGTCATGAGCTTCCTGAGTGGGTGCTAGGAATTGAACCTGGGTCCTCTGAAAGACCAGTATGCGCTCTCAGCCTCTACGCCATCTCTCTGACCCTGTTGCTTTGTTTTGATTTCCAACACGGTCGGTCTCACCGTAGAGGCCTAGGACTCGCTACGTATGTAGACCGGGTTAGCCTTCCACTTTTGACAACCTATCTGCCTACCAGATGTGGCATTACGGGCACACACTACCATGCCCAGCTTTGGTTTTGCTTTCGCAAACATATTTTCCGAGGGCTTACTGGGGGAGGGGGTCCTTGTGGTGTCTACCTCATTAGCTAGCTTGCTCGCAAGCTGAATATGCCTTGTATGGGTGGAGGGCTGAGAACAACTTGTGGGTGTCGGTTCTTTCTCCACAGTGTGGGTCCCAGGGATCCGACTCAGGTTGTGAGTTTGGTGGCAGGTACCTTTACCCTCTTGAGTCATCTCCCCCTGCGCTACCTCTGCCTGGCTTTATTTATTTATTTTAAGATTTATTTATTCATATATGGGCACTCTGTCTGCACTTAAGCCTCATGCCAGGACAGGGCATCAGATATTGTTAATATCGTTATAGAAGGCTGTGGGCTACCCTTTGGCTGCTGGGAATTTGAACTCGGGACCTCTGGAAGAGAAGACAGTGCTCTTAACCGCTGAGCCATTACTTTGGCCCTATTTTTGCTTTTGGAGACAGGGTTTCGGGGTTGGGGATTTAGCTCAGTGGTAGAGCGCTTGCCTAGCAAGCGCAAGGCCCTGGGTTCGGTCCTCAGCTCCGGAAAAAAAAAAAAAAGACAAAATAACAAAAAGACCAAAAAAAAACAAGGTAACTGGAGACAGGGTTTCTCCGTGTATTCCTGCCTGTCCTGGAACTCTGTAGACCAGGCTGGCCTCAAACTCACAGAGATCTGCCTACCTCTGCCTCCAGAGTTTTGGGATTAAGCCGTGAGCCACTACAACAGGCTTCCTGTGCTAATTTTAAATAGCCCTGTTATCTTTCGTTTGTATAGAAACTTGTTTTTATTGTTGTGTTTTAAATATAGGGTTGGGGTTTTTTTGTTTGGTTGGTTTTTGGTTTTTTTCTTTATAATCTTGGTTGCTCCAAGTGTTGGCCATTGAGAGGCAGTGCAGGAGATCAGACCAAGACCAGACGGAAGTTCTACATGTTAAGCAGATACTCTACCCCTGGCCTGCATTCTGGGCTTTTGGTGTTAGTGTTTGCCCTCAGATGCCGGGCTTCCTCCATAGGCTGATGCTGGCCTTCATGGGTTAGCCCTGTTGAGATGGGACGGAGTTGGAGGTTTTATAGTCCTGCCTGTGGGGTGCTCTCTGCCTTCGTCCTTCCCTGCTAGGGTGCAGGCCGGAGACTTTCCCAGGGCGGCTCTGCAAAGAGCCGTTTGAGATCCAGGGCAGTTCATCCTTTGCTGTTGATGCCAGCTCGTGGCCTGTTCTCACTGTCCTTGGAATTTCATACAGTGCTTGTCCCCTGCGGCACTGTGTGAGGGTCTGGAACCCTCAGCACGAGTCCCGTCTTTCCTGTGAATGTTTCATTTTGTTTTTGTTTTCGGATCTGGTTTTTCAAGACAGGGTTTCTCTGTGTGACCGCCCCGGCTGTCCTAGAACTTGCTGTGTAGACCAGGCTGGCCTCGAACTCACAAAGATCCACCTGCCTCTCGCTCCTGAGTGCTGGGACTAAAGCCATGTGCCACCATGCCCAACTTCCTGTGAATGTGCTTAAACTAAGCCAGCCAACACCCCGAGGGCCACCACCCACTTTGCTATTTTAAGAAGGCGTGTGCTGGAGATTTGGCTCGGCAGTTGAGAGCTTGCACCTGTCCTAGAACCCTCATTGGGCAGCTCACGACCACCTGTTAGACCTCTAGGGGATTTGGCCCTCCTCTTCTGGCTTCTTTGGGTACCTGCACACATGTCTGCACATAACAGCAAACAAAATCTTAGAACGTGGTGACAGCTCGGTATTTCCTCGAGCTTGTAAATGCTAGGTACCGTGTGACGTGACACTGTCCCACCCTGCGGCTGCACGGTAATGTTGTGGTGATGTCGCTGGCCTCTCTGTCCTCGGAGAGAGCCCTTCCTTGAGATTTAGGGGTTGAAGGAGAGGATTCTGGGAGCCTTGTATGTGTGTGGGGGGGTGAGGTTATCAGAGGTTCGTTCTTTAGGTAACCTGGAGAAGGTCCTACCCTGGGTGTGGGGTCACTCTTGCCTGCTCAGAAGCAGCTTCTGTGTGGCAGTGCCCCCTGGTGGGCCTAGGATGTATTGTCACCTCACCACAAGAAGGAAAGCAGTTACAGAGCTTTTAACCTAATGAAAAAGCAGGGCAGGACAGACCACCCCTCAGGGTGGTCCGGCCGGCCGAGGGGTGGAGCTGGGAGGACTCAGCGCCCTGTGTGGCATGGGGAGAAGCAGGTGTGTCTCACTCCCTCCCCCAGGGAGATTGGTCACTCCGGTAAAAGTGGCCCAACACTACCTGCACGTTGTCCTCCTCTGCCCCCTCCCACCTCTCCTGGTGCCTTCTCAGATGACTGAAGTCCTGCCCCAAGGGGACTGTCAGATTGTAGAAGGCTCTTGTGTGCCATAGCTGCCCATAGCTTGGCGCGTCCCTTCACCCTCAGGCATCGTCATGCCCAGTGTCCTCGATGCTCCACTCGTCACTGCTGCCATCACGGAAGCCAGGGCGTGCCAGCACATGTGCACTAGCCCTGGGGTCTGTGGAGGTCAGACCCTGGCGGTACCGGGTGCTAGACTCTCCTACGGACACATCAGCCCCTCCAGGACACCTCGGGAGCTCAGCACAGGGCCTTCCGACGTTGCCAGCTGCTGTACAGGTGTGGGCTTGGGGTCTGCGTGTCTGACCAGCTCCCTACAGTGCTGAGTGTGTGCTCTGCCTGGTGGGGTGAGGGCCAACCCACTACCCCGAGCTTCTGGCCTGTGCATCTGCTCTGGGAGCCCATGGGAGCCCATGGTTCATCTCCGACATGTTCACGTGTGACCGACCGTTCACCTATCACCCGATGGGATTGTTTTCAAATGTGGGCCCTGTGTTATGTGAAAGGCAGTCTCAAAGCGGCGCTGATCTCTGCAGAGTGCAGCCTGGGTCTTCTGTGGCATTTCTTTTCACGGTGTGCTCGGGGTTGGAGGAGAGTCAAAGGGATGAGATTGTGGTCTGGTAGGCCCACGGTTCCCTGGTCAGTCTCCTCAGTTTGCCTAATCTTGTGTATCTGCAACGCCTCCTGCTGGCCCTGATGCCCCTCACTGGTAAAGTGAGGGAGTGTAGCACTCTTCGGGTAGGAGTGTTGGAGTGGCCCAGCGTGCTCCCCAGGATCCTGGCATCCTGGATGCAAACCAGCTGCCGTGTGACTGACGTCTGCCCTGCTTACCTTCTTCCAGATGCTGGATGAGAACCACCACCTGATCCAGTGCATCCTGGATTACCAGAGCAAGGGCAAGACGGCCGAGTGCACCCAGTAAGTAACCATGCGAGCCCAGGACCCAGGCGCCTCCCCCCCCCCCATGACATTGCCTTCTCTGTGCAGAGTAAGGTCACGTGTGGCTCTGAGAATACAGGTGAGGTGGAGACCCTCAGCATTAGGGCCTGGGGTAAAGATGGAAGGAGTTTCCACAGCCTCCATCCGTGGGGCCAATAATTGACCCAACCAGGAGGCAGCCTGTGCTTGCTCTGTGTGGGCAAGACCTCTCTCTCACCTTCATGAGGGGCCTTGAGTCTCCGGGGTGTGCGAGGCCGGGGTCCCCACCTGTGCAGCTCGTTTGAGAGACCGGAGACCTTGCCAGGTATGATGAGTGGCTGAGCTGTGGGTGAGGGTCCTCGGCCCCCCCCCCGCCCCTCCCTGTTTGAGCTGCTATGGAGTTAGCCTGGCGTGTGACTGACTGTGGAGCGGGCTCTGTTCCCGAGTCTCCCTGTCATCTGTAGGCCTCTCCCTCCTTTTCTGCTGACCACCCGCCGCCTCTTCGCTCACATCTCAGGGTCTTCCCGGGCTTAGGACTTGACTGGACCTGGACCTTTCTCACCCCTTCCTGGACTATGGAGAGCTCCAGCTGCCTATTTCCAGCCAGGACTGAGTGTCCTTGGGGCCAGTGTCCTGTTGGAGGTCAAGGTTGACTTGGGTAGACTTTGCAGTTTCTCCTGCTTAACATACATGCCTCTCTCACAGGTACCAGCAGATCCTGCACCGGAACCTGGTCTACCTGGCTACGATAGCAGACTCCAACCAGAATATGCAGTCACTGCTTCCTGCGGTAGGTACCGCAACCAGTTCCTGAGTGTGTCTCCTCAAGTAGACGGCGACCATCAGCAGCCAGTACTGTTAGGCATCAGAAATTAGGGGCTCTGAAAAACCCCCATCGCATGGGGTGAGGTTAGGGTTAGGTTACTGTGGATAGATGAATGCAGGGCCTCATCTTTGTAAACCCCTCCAGATGGTGTGAGCAGTTCTGATGCGTGTGGGTGCACTGCCAGGACTTTAAAAAAAAACAGAAACAACAGATCTTTCTAGGCCGGATTGGTGCATGCCTTTAACGGTAGCACTTGGGAGGCTGAGGCAGTAGGATCGCTGTCAGTTTGAAGTCATACTGGGCCACATATGGAGTGCCAAGCCAGCTAAAGCTACACAGTGTGAACCGTCTTTAAAAAAAAAGAAGGTTGAGCCAGGTGTTGGTGGCGCACGCACTCGGGAGGCAGAGGCAGGCAGATGTCAGTGAGTTCGAGGCCAGCATTATAGAGAACCCTGTCTCAAAAAAGAAAAAAAAAAAGAAAGAAAGAAAAGAAAAAGAAAAAGAAAGTTGAAAGGAAAAAGTCTCCAGTGCAGCCATGTTCCAGATGTTAATGTTCTAGATGTCCAGATGTCAGCATAAATACTTTATTGACTTTGACTTTCTGTAAACACCCCCCCCCCAATTAAATTTTACTATGACGTTGGGTTGTATGCCTGTGGCCAGGTGAGGTAACATGGCCAAGAGAAGGAGTCACCGCAGCATGACTCAGGCTGACCACGAGATGCCAGGGCGGGCACGCGCACACACGCACACGCGCACACACACACACACACACACACACACACCCCGGGTACCTCTCTTCCCTGGAGAGTGGAGGCATCATACGTGTCATTACACCTGGGTCAGCTGTGATGTCCATCGGGTGTTCCCGCAGATGCCAGCTGGCCCTGCTGGACACTGCCCTTCTGGCTTTCAGTACTGGGGATTGAACCTGCAGCTTTGAGCTTTGTGCACATGCAGCTATGTGCTCAGTTGTCATATTTTTGTTTTTAAAGATGTATTTATTATTATGTATACATCATTCCTCCTGCATGTAACCCTACAGTCCAGAAGAGGGCACCAGATCTCATTACAGATGGTTGTAAGCCACCCTGTGGGTGCTGGGAATTGAACTCAGGACATCTGGAAGAGCAGCCAGTGTTCTTAACCTCTGAGCCATCTCTCCAGCCCCTCATTTTACTTCTTAAAAACAAGTTTTACTTTTAGGTTCTGTTTTACCCACACTGACCTTGAACTCACTCTGTAGCCCAGGCAAGCTTTGAACTTGCCATGCTCCTGCCTCCACCTCTCAGCTGAGATTGTGGGGCTGCAGCACCAGGCCTGGGCCGGAGCTCCCTGTCTCGGCTACGTACAGATAGCATGTGCGTGCAAACCTGTGGCACCGGTGTTTGATCTAAGGAAGCTTCCACCTCCCTTCCACAGCTTATGTTTAACTGAGGGGATGGAGGATGGGGGGTGGGGGAGGACATAGGAAATAGACGTGCGGGAAGCCAGCTTGTGCAGGGCCTGGGCCATTGATGAGAATGTCATGTTTGGTTTCCATCATAGCCTGACACCCCTGCTGGCAGGTAGCTGGGCAATTCTTATGTCCCTGGGGCGGCTCTGAGTTGACTGTCCTGTCCTAACCTTCGTGTTGTCCGCAGCCGCCAACCCAGAACATGAACCTGGGCCCCGGAGCACTGAGTCAGAGCAGTTCCAGCCAGGGCCTGCATCCCCAGGGCAGCCTCAGTGATGCCATCAGCACGGGTCTGCCCCCTGCCTCCCTCATGCAGGGCCAGATTGGAAACGGTAAGCATGTTTGCTGCAGTGACATCACCAAGGTGGCCATAGGTCGCTGGCTGCAGTGACAGCCTACACCCAGCGTTGCTGGGCACAGTGCCGCCTGGCCTGGCCTGGCCTGGCCACCTCTCTCCCACTGACCCGGCCACAGGTACTCTGCTAGGCCTGTGTGTGGTGGTGGTGGTGGTGGTGGCTGCAGCATGAGAACTGGGAGCAGCTAGGGGCCCTCAGTAACTGTGACACGTGGCGTGTGTCTGTCCATCAATCGCTCACTTCATTAGTGTTACTGACCAGGGATTAACCTTCCCTCCCAAAACCACTTGAAGGGAACTGGATTGTCTTTACCTTGAGGTGGACACCTGGCCTCCAGTGCCTGACATGCCCTCTCCTACCCCTCCTGGCAGGTCCAAACCACGTGTCCATGCAGCAGACGGCACAGAGCACACTGCCCACAACCTCCATGAGCATGTCGGGCAGTGGCCACGGTACGGGTCCTGGCTACAGCCACTCGGGACCCACCTCGCAGAGCGTCCCCATGCAAGGCCAGGGTGCCATCAGCAACTACGTATCTCGGACCAACATCAACATGCAGTCCAACCCAGGTACTGACCCCACACCACTGACCAACTGCTAACCCCAGCAAACACAGGCGACTTGTCTGTGCGCCCTGTGGGGCAGATCTCCCGGTGGGCGCACAATGACCCCCCCCACCCTGAGTAGTGTCTCAGATACCTCAGGAATCTAGGGAAAGGCTGCCGTTGGCTGTGGGACTTGGAAGAACGCTGGTCTCGGGTGAGGTATAGTGGTTCCCCACACAGGGGACCCTGGCAAAGGCCAGAAGTAGAAAAAGATGAAGACTCGTGAATATTAAGCTGGAGGTCCAGGCCTTTCTGCCTGGACAGTGATGATGGATGCTGATCGTGAGATCATGAAGTGTCGGGACACGGCAGGTCCCAATGCAGATGTCCCCTGATGTCACAAAGCAAGATGAAGTGTCTCCTAGGGTTGTCTGTGTTTTGGTTTTTTTTTTTTTTTTTTGGTTTTTCAAGACAGGGTTTCTCTATGTAGCCCTGGATGTCCTGGAACTAGCTCTGCAGACCAGGCTGGCCTGGAACTCACAGAGATCCACCTGCCTCTGCCTCAGAGCGCTGGGATTAAAGGCGTACGCCACCACTGCCTAACTTGTTTCATTTTTTCAACATAATACTAGAAGCTTTTTCTTTTTTCTCTTCAGTACTGGGGACCAAACACAGGGCCTCATGCATTGGAAGTAAAGACTCTGCCAGTGGGCTGCGTCCCCTCACTAAATTGCCGTGGCTGGCCTCGAACTTACAACCTTCTTGCCTCCATCTCCTGAGTAGCTAGGATCACAGGCATGCTGTACTAGGCCTGGCTTTCTACAAACTTTAAAACAAATGGCTGTTTTGTTTCTATTAGGTCATGCTGTCCCGTGAGTCCTGAGCAGTGTGTAGCCCGACCGGCAGGCAGGCGGGCAGGCAGGCGTCGCTCACTGTAGCTGTAGGGTTGTTGTCCAAGAAGTGGAGAGAGGCTACTGACTCCTTCAGGAAAGCCCTGGGGACAGGGAAGAACAGGGTCCTAGTTTCTGTGGTCAGGAGCCGTGGGCCTGAGGACCTACTTCCTCTTGCCCAGTGGCTGTCTGCTCTGTTAGCCAAACGTTAGTAGTGACAGCTGAGGTCTTAGCTGCAGCTCACGTTGTTGGAGGTGTGACTTGGAATCAAAGGTGCCACCTTACACATGGGAAATGGTGATAGGGTGGATCTGGGGGGCGTCGGGCTTGCAGGGGAAAGAGTGTCCGTTGTGCCCATCTCCCCGCCGCCGCCCCTCCCCCACCTCCCAGCTTTCTCAGGCTTACTTTGTGATCTCTGTCCCTTCACACAGTCTCCATGATGCACCAGCAGGCAGCCACAACCCACTACAACTCAGCCCAGGGCGGGAGCCAGCATTACCAGGGCCAGGCGCCCATTGCCATGATGGGCCAGGGTGGCCAAGGGAGCAGCATGATGGGCCAGCGGCCCATGGCGCCCTACCGACCCTCCCAGCAAGGTAAGGTTGAGGCCTGCTTCAGCCCGTGGTAAAGAGCCAGCAAAGATGAGCACAGATGCTGGGTGTATACGTGCGAGGAGACTAAGTGAGCATCTGCAGACGTGTGGGGCTCGGGGAACAGGTATGGTTGGGCAGCCGGGCTGAGAGGAGAGGGAGGGTTGGTGTTTGAGTGGTCCTGGGTTATCCCTCCCATGGGCAAGGCTTTACTGCTGGACCCGGTGTGTGAGCATGTCTCACGCATTGCCTGCTGGGCCTGAGTGTCTGCTCACATCCCCACAGGCTCTTCCCAGCAGTACCTAGGCCAGGAGGAGTACTACAGTGAGCAGTACAGCCACAGCCAGGGCGCTGCAGAGCCCATGAGTCAACAGTACTACCCAGATGGTAAGGCGTGCTGCCGGCAGCTCCTCGGGTCCGTTCTTCAGCCCTAATGCCCTGTGTCCTGCCAGCGCGGCACCCCGGGTCCCCTCAGCTCCAGCACGCAGGGGCGTGCCTGAGGCCAGTCTTCGACAAGAAAAACTTCTACACAGGACACCATCCACCTCTTTGGGCTTTCTCTGCTTCTCTTTCCCAGAAGGTAGTAGGAGGCTGAGCTGGGTAAAGCCATCCATCACTGACAGGTGTGTTCAACATGGTGGGTACCAGCATCCAGCCTCTTGCCCTCGAGGCGGCAAGCTGTCACGTGACCTTAAATACTGGCTGTGGCAGCCTGTGACTGTAACCACAGCTCTCAGGTAGCTGAACCAGGAGGATTAAGAATCTGAAACCAGCTTGGGCTACATCAAGAGACCTTGTCTTAATAAATACCTATCTTAAATATATATTTTGAGAGATAACTATGGAGGTCTCTGGGGGACTCCTGGCCAGGGCCGTGGTGTAAGCCATAGCATGAGGTAAGGAGTGTGTCTGGGATTTGGGAATAAGAGCAGCGTAGGTGGCTGAGACAAGTCTTGTAGCAAGCGGTGATGTCTGGTGTGAGGTGGTGGCATGTCCCAAAGGCTTCCGTGGCCATAGTACCACTATCGAGGAAGCCCTGGGAGTTGGACAGATACGGGAGAGAGCAGCTGGTGCTGTCAAGAAGGTTTGATTCACTCCACAACTTGGAGCAGCCTCGCATTGATGGTGATGTCTGCATTTGAAAAGCAGACAGACAGAACAGAGGGCCTTAGAGTCGGCTCAGCCAGTTCTGCAGAGCCCAGTTGTTGTCCCAGGACCTCGGCAGGAAGACATGTCCACCGACAGTGAGTCACCTGTTTCTTGCAGGCCACGGCGACTACAGCTACCAGCAGTCGTCTTATACAGAGCAGAGCTACGACCGCTCATTTGAGGATTCCACACAGCACTACTATGACGGGGGTAAGCAGCATGGTAGGGACACGTACTGTTCCGTAGTGTGTAAACACAGCACAGGCACAGCAGTGGATGCCATACTCCTAGAGCTAACAGTGCTGGCCTCCCAGAGTCTCACCCCAGTCGTTGATGATAATAGGTAGGCGTCAATAGATGGGTAATAGATGGCTGGTGTAGGTTTGTGAGGTTGGGTTTACCAGGCTGTGCGTGGGACTTAAAACTTGTATGTTTGGGAAACAGGACGGGGTTTGACTGGTCATGTTGGGGGTGTTGATGCTGGGGGACAAATGGCTTCATCCTTCCAGCTGAGCGGCCCATGAACCAGGAGGATTGCATCTTTTGTAAGAGGCTTGTGGTCCCAGCATGGAGAGACCCCTGGTGGTGCTGTAGGAATGGGAGAGAGGGACAGCTGTGTGCTGCTCTGTCACTCTGAGCAGAGAGCCTTGCTTTGTCCATCTCTGTAGGGTAAATGTGTCCGTCCTGGCTGACAGGCATCACCCATGGGATGCCACAGACTGTAGAAGTAAGAGGAATTACACAGGCCCAAAGCAGATTGAGAGTCATGAATTCATGGGACTTAGCATACATAGATATACAGTAATTTTTTTAAAAAAAGATTTATTTCTGTCCTGTGTGGGTGCGCGTGTGCATGTGTGTGTGTGTGTGTGTGCGCGCACGCACACACACTTGCACACTCTAATAGGTGGTATTCTCAGACCAGAAGGGAGTGTTGTATCCTCTGGAGTTGGAGTTGCTTGTGAACTACCTAGTGGTGTTGCGTTTATTTTGGGTTTTTGTTTTGTTTTGTTTTGTTTTTTGTTTTGTTTTGTTTTCCAGACAGGGTTTCTCTGTGGCTTTGGAGCCTGTCCTGGAACTAGCTCTTGTAGACCAGACTGGTCTCAAACTCAAGAGATCCGCCTGCCTCTGCCTCCCGAGTGCTGAGATTAAAGGTGTGCACCACCAATGCCCAGATCATTTCCCTGTTTTATTCCTTCAAAACCAAACACTCCTGTCACACCTCTGCTGTAGCCCGCTTGCTTGATGTCCAACCTCCCGGGGCTGCCGTGGTGAAGTACCAGCCGGGCTCGAAGCATCAGGCCTTCACGCCCTCCTAGCTCTGGATGCCTGAGATCTGAGGCCAGGCTGTCTGCAGACCCTCTTTCTGCCAGCTCAGGGCAGGTCTGCTCCAGGCCTCTTCAGCATCAGTCTGGCTGTCCCTTGGCTTGGAGAAACACACTCCATCTTCATTGTCTCGGGGCCTCTGTGTATCTGCTCACATTTCTCTCGCTTCACACAGACCCCTCCCTTCCATCCTTAGCATCCACCCAAGATCATCATACACATGTCTTTGGAACTAAAGACAGCCTTGGGACTATTTTTTATTTATCTTGTTGCTGGGACAAAAACTTAGGGAACTTAGGGAAGGGCTCATTTTGGCTCAGGGTTTGAAGCACACACAGTTGGTGGTGGAAGGAGCCTGGTCACATGGCATCTGCAATCGGGAAGTGAAGAAAAAGTGCCCAGCTCGCTTCCTCCTCTTTATTCAGTCTGGGACCTACACTCCCTTAAACCCCTGCGTAGACACACTCGGGTGGGTCTCCTGGGTGGTTCTGAATCCAGTCACGTCGACAATCACCATGTGGAGTAGAACTTGACGTTCAGTTCACGGTGCTGTTTTTAGCCTTATTTTAGCAGTTATATCACCCACTTAGCGTTATCTGGCTTTTCCTACGTATTTTATAACGTAATAAGATGAAAATGTCATACGATATTTGAGCCACCGTGGAAACATACTGCCTCTGGAGACATGGTGTTTAGGATTCCATGGCTACTCGCTTGTCCTGTGGGTGACAGGGAGCCTTCAACACTACTACCCGGAAATGAGACTGTGCCCCTTCCTCCTTCAGGAAACTCCCAGTACAGTCAGCAGCAGACGGGGTACCAGCAGGGCTCAGCGCAGCAGCAGACCTACCCGCAGCAGCAGTACCCCAACCAACAGAGCTACCCGGGGCAGCAGCCAGGCTACGGTAAGATAGGCGGCGTATTGGGTTTCCTCACGGAGGACCCGCTGGCGCCCGCCGTGGGCCGCGCACGTTGTAATGCTGTCGGCATTCTGGCAGGTGTGTAGTAAGCCTATTTTATCGTAGATGTTGGTTTCTGGAGAGGCTGGGGGATTGTGCATGGGGGTCCAGTTTTCCCAGTGCTCTGCCTCCCTGTATCTGCGATTAGATACGGTGGTTACAATTCAGAAGCCAGCACTGGGGCCTGGAGAGATGGCTCAGCTGTTAAGAGCTCTTAATTCTCTTGCACAAGACCAGTATTTGGCTCTCGGCACCTGTATGATAGCTCCCAACTGACTGGAACCCCAGTCCCAGGAGAGACCTGACCCCTACTCACTGGCATCTGCTTGATGCGTGTGGTGTGCAGACATGCGTGCAGGAAGAAAGAAAACCAGCATTGGGTCATAGCTTAGAGCCCACAGCCATGTAGCAGTGAAGGCCTGCCTACTGTTCACTAGGGGCTGGACTGCGGTTCCATGGTAGAGTGCTGCCCGCTGTAGCTGGAGTTTCTTTCCAGCCTGGTCCCACAGCTGATTAGCCCCAAATAAGCACACAGAGACATACTATAAACTTAGCCGATGGCTCAGGCTTCATACTGGCTCTCTCTTACCCGTTAACTCGTTTCTATTAATCTAAGCATTTCCACATGGTCGCATCTTACTGGAGAAGGGTCCAAACCTGTTTCTTCTTCCTCAGCTACGTGGCATCTCCTCGCGGCTTATCCCCATGTCCTCTCCCCAGAATTCTCCTTGTCTGGTAGCCCTGCCCACCCCCACCCCCCCCCCCACACACACACGCAGATGCTGTGCATTGTCAGTTCTTTCTGAGCCTTCGACTTAGTTCTCACAGGAAGTCAGACATTTCTGTTTTGCTTCTGAGTTCCTGTTGCTTTACTATATCCACCACAGCTGACCACAGCTGGTTCTGGAGTAGTCCTTCACCCACTTCGGCAACACCGCAGGCCTAGTGTGTTGGGGACAGACCGTCAGTGCCCCATGTGTGAATGGGCACAGTCCCAAGTCCTCACACGACTGTCAGAGGCGGCAAGCTGGGTTGTAGCAGTCTTGTAGTACAGCTTTGCCCACCAAAGGACAGACACCTGGTGTCCAGATGTTCCCAAGCGTGGAGCGCTGCTGATGGTTGGCCTCACAGCCTCTGCTGTCTTCACAGGCCCTGCCCAGGGAGCCCCCTCACAGTACTCAGGCTACCAGCAAGGACAAGGCCAACAGTATGGAAGCTACAGAGCATCACAGACGGGACCTTCTGCCCAGCAGCAGCGGCCTTACGGCTATGAGCAGGCAAGCTTTATGGATGTTTCTGGAAGCGATGTAGCATGGCAAGGATTTGTCTTACGGTTCTGGGGTATGACAGCTGGGACCGATTGGCTCCCAGGACGGCAGCAGCGTACAGCCACTGTGGGGCTAGAGTTGCTAGGATGGGTCTTAATGGGTCTTAATGACACAGACTCCTCTTTCTCAGAAGCATGTGGACCAACAAGTGGCGTGCTAACTTAGTTAAAGACGGAACGGTCGTCACTGCACTCGCGTCCAGCGAGGACACAGCAGGGACATTGCAGGGGGAAAGTGCCCTCACTTCAGACCTTTAATGCAGCCTGTGGGGGTTTTAGCTGTGGGTCGTAAGGTCCCCACCCAGTCAGTTGGCTGATGGGCCTAGGCAGGGACAGGCAAGCTGTTGTGTATGTGTTTTCTAGTTCCATAGCTGCAAGCCAGTGCTCCACTCTGTTCCCCAGCTTTGAGGGTCAGAAACAGCTGCAGGTACCGCCGTATGTCCCTGCCCTGATGGTTGTATCTGCCGTGTCCTCTGCTTCACCCACCTGGGTGCGGGCCCCAGGGACCTATCTGACTGGCTCTGCGTAGACTCTCCACTGTGGGCTCCCAGGAGCCCTTCTTACCCAGCTGTGGAGAAAGGAAGCTGGGGTGGGGTTGAGTGCCTGTGTCCTCAAGGACAGCACTCTTCCAGAAGGTTCCTCCTCGGGGCACAGGGCTCTGTTAGCTTCCGACCCTGCAGTTGTATGGATTCAAGCTCCGAATCTCCCTTCAGATTTTGCACTGACTGAGCCTGTTAACCGCGTCACCCCAAGCCATTTCCTAAAGGTGGAAGCTGGTGTTGGCACCAGCCCTGCTACCCCATCTGTGTCTAGGAGCTCAGGGCGCAGGAGGACTCCCTTCCTAGAGTGTCAGTGTGGTGTCTGGTTAGGCACACGGCCAGGCCCCACCTCCCAGAGAGTCCAGAGCCTCCATCACTGAGGTCACATTGTTGCCTTCACAGGCCCTGCCTGTGAGCGAAGCTGATAAAAAAGAAATCAGGCCAAATAAATGATGATCAAAGCGGGAGTGGGGGGAAGGCAGGGGAGTCACCGTTAGCCTGGACTGCAGGAGAGCTACTGCTCACTTTGGATGTCGGCAGACTGTTAGTCTACTTGCTTTTGTGGTTACTTTTCCGCCCATGACCCAGGGCTCTGGCTATGGGAAGAAGCTTCCTGTCACTTGGGTGTGGACCTCTGCACTCAGGGCTGACGAGGTGTGATCTGTGTCTTGTTCTCTTTTAGGGCCAGTATGGAAATTACCAGCAATAAAGGACAAGCGTTGTCTTTGGACCCTTCGTGGTAGTATGTTCTGGACAAGCCAGTGGCAGTTCTGATGACACCATGACATGTTGGTTGCCCTGCGCCCAGGGCCATGTCTGCACGTGAAGCGGGCTCATGCCATGTGTATGATGACAGGCGTGCACTCCTGGCTTCGATGGTGTGACATATTTGGTGCTGTGTAAAGTATTGTATATCGATACAGTGGAGAGGCTTTCCTGCTTTTGTCCCTCACCCCCTCCTCCATGTTCTTAGCTAGCTTTGGGGGGTCATAGTTGTCGTCACATGTTCTGTGCCCAGTGATGAGACAATACCTAAAAGACACCGTGGTCCGTGTTACCGTGAACAGACCCAGGGTGACTCCTCTCACACCACTGTTGCAGAGTGGTCTGCAAATGTCTGACTGGCTGCCCGTAGCTCGACACGCATATAGACAACTCTGGGTGGCCGTCTCTTCCTGTGCCTCGATAGGGCTTGTGGACACCTCCTGTGTCTTGGGCTAGTTTCTTGTGTCACTGTAACAAAGAAAATGTGCTCATGTGGAGAGACTGAACTGTCCTTTCCAGAACTTATCCCTTGCCTGTGTCTTGCCAGTCCCCATGATCCCAAGAAGTACATGTCTTTATGTTAGACAGCGAAGAGGGGTCAGCATAACGAGTGTGTCCATGAGGGCAGTGTGAGGGTGACCTGCCCTGGGGAGGGCAGTGTTCTGAAGAGCAAAGCTCGCTGTCTACCAGCTGCGTGTGTGTAGTGCGCCTTTGGCCCTTGTTTAATGTTGTGAGTATGCCCAGTCCTGACCCTAAGGAGAATTGAAAGGACCGATGCAAAGTTTTACTGGCAGTTGGCAAGTGTTGAGATTACTTTTCCAGGACTTCCAAGTTCAGATTGCCAAGGAACTGTTCCTTTGCATTTAGGGAAATCTGAAATCCACACCATATTTTTAACAAATCCAAATAGATTATTACATTCTTTTAAATGAAAAGTACAAATTTGAGTGATTTTTTTTGTTTTTGTTTTTGTTTTTATTTTTACATCTCTAGGATGTTCCATCTCATTTTAATTCTGTGCAAAACATGAGAAACAGCCTTTTTGGAAAGATACTGTTAAAGGAAAATACCACATATAATGTAACACTGGCATTTCTCAGCCTTTATTTGGACAATAATAAACATATCACTATGAAAAGTGGGGGAAACTTTAAGATAAGTGCTGGTATATGTCTAACAACAACAAATTAGATTTGAAAAATCTACAAGAATCCAGGGCTGGGTGCATCAGGCCTACCCAGCATGATGCTTTTATTTGTGTTTTTGGACAAGAGCTTACGTAGCCCAGACTGGCCCTGAACTCTACATCTCTAAGGCTGACCTTGAGTTCATGATCCTCCTGCCTCTACTTCCCAAGGACTGATACTACAGGCGTGCACCACAAACTGATAGTTTTTAAAATAGAAAACTTACCGGTAGCTCAGTGGGTGAGGATTTACAAGGCACTTTTGTGGGTTTTACTTGAATTAATCTTGACAGCCTTGCTGGAAAGTACAGGAAAAGGACTGTCCCTCTACCAGATGAAGAGTCCAGAGCCAGGCTGAGGGACTTGTCTGGGCTGGCTACCATCCTGTTCTAGGACATTTTCCCCGTTCCCTATAGGACTGATAAACAAACGCAGGCATATATGTTTCATAGGCATAGGGCTTAGGAAACCCTTACTTAACACTGGCAAGGCTGACTATATGATGGTACTAACTTGACAGAAATGAATTTCTGATTGCTAAATGACAGAGTATTAGCAACTTCCCTGGCAATTTTTATAAAACTAATCTATAAGCTCAATTGGGGCCTAAAATTTCTCATTGAAAATGCTGAAACATTTTAAGTAACTGTGAAAATGGTTTTTATTCCTTGCCAATCTGGGAATATGCCTTTTGTGTGTGTGTGTGTGTGTGTGTGTGTGTGTGTGTGTGTGTGTGCATGTGTGTTCATATGTGTGTGCACGTACACACGTGTGCTTGTGTGTATGTTAAGTTCTGTATTAGTATGAGTGTATGTGTATGTTAGATGCTGTACTAATGTGTGTAAGTGCTGTATTGATACTTTTTGAAAGAAAAGGACACTTAAAAAAATGTATCACCCCAAAACTTCAATCTGAAATGTCTTACATTAAGAATTTCTTGAATGTTGTGTATATATTTTTAAAAGCACTTTGTGAAATAGTTTGTACATTTATTTCCTAATTTATACATGATTTTGGTGTTAATATATTTGATGATTAATAATAATGTCTGTTTACCGTTTTGTTCATGTTTATGGTTCTTTTTCTTTGACCGTGTTGTGTTATAGTTTTCCTTCTGTAACATGAATGTTTGGAAAGCCCTAGCTGAAATGAACCCTTCATGCAGGTGTGGTTGACTGTGTGTTGTTTATTTTATGACCCCCTCCTACTGAAGGCCAGAAAAGATGAAAAGGGGGACTTGGAAACCGCCGCTCATTCTTCCTCCTGTTTCCAACATCCACTCAACGCTTGGTGAACGTGACCAGTGATCGGGTTTTCAGACGCTGCTGCGTGGCAGGAGCTGTGGTTGGATGGCCGCCTCGCCGGGTTTAGCCTAACAGTGACAGCCCGGGAGAAGCCTGCAGTGGCACTGGACCAAGAAGGAAGTGCCTTCCTTTGCCGTGGTACCAGTGTGCAGGCCTGGGCTTCAGTAACGAGGTCCATTCAAAACTGTACAAAGGGGAGGACTTTGCATTTCCATTAAAACGTTTTTTTTAGCCATTACTTCATTTCTATTTATTGAACAGGTTAAATCCATGGTGTTTGTTATTTGTGAACGCGGTACGATCTTAAGACACCCTGTCTCACGATAACCCCTTTTTGTTTGCTTGGTTGGTTTTTAGACAGAGACTGGCCTGGCCGTCCTGGACCTCCCCGTGTAGTCGGGGCTGGCCTCGAACTCAGACGGTGCCCTGCCTGTTATCCGAGGCTGGAATTACAGGCGCGCTCCCCCACACCTGGCTTCTCTCCTGGGTTTGTGAGACAGGCGCTGTGCGTGTATTAATCCCAGGCTGGGCTGGAACTCACGGTGATCCTTCCGCCTCGGCTTCCTGGGGGGTGGTGCCGCGACTTCCGCGTTTGCGCGCTGGCGCATCGCGCAGCCGCGGCCAGAGCTCGGCCCGGAAGCAGTCGGGCGGCCGGATGTTGTAGCTGCAGGAGCCGGTGCGTGCGGACGCGGAGTCTCCCAGGTGTACGTTCCGGGCCGGGCGAGCGGGCGGGGCGGCGAGGTCCGTGTGCCTCTTGCGCTCTGCGGAGGCCGGAGGATTGCCGGGAGTCCGGGGCCAGGCTAGGCTACGTCGTGAGAGCAGAAACGCCCTCTGGAGCCTTTGCGGGCGCTGCTGCCTCGTCCCCAGTCCCCGCCTCCGCTGCTCCCTCTGTGGGGGCGTTGTTGCTCTTCTTTAAGGTCGGGTTAAGAAGCATTCTGCACACCGAGGACCTATAGAGATGCTCTGCCAGAGCAAATGGCCTCGCTCCTCCGCAGGAGCCTAAGGACTAGACTAGGGGACAATTCCGGAGCTGTCACGGGCTTCCCTGCCCGCCCTGGGAGCCGTGAGCCAGTCCCGCCCGGGACTGAGTATTGGGGGGAAAGCTCTCCCCCCTCCAGCCTGCGCGAGTGAAAAGCCCCACAAGACCCCACAGGGCAGGTGCCCGACCGCAGGGGTGCGGAAAGGAACACATGTATGTAACCCTATGTAACCCTAGCTGGCCTGGAGCTGGAGATGTCTGTCTGGCTTCCAAGTGCTGGGATTAAAAGCATATGCCGCCACACACAGCAGGAACACACTTTTTTTTTTAATGCAATTAAATAATAATAAAAAAAATGTAACGTGAAGTGACAAAACAATACTCCAGTTTCTAAATATTTTCCACATGGAAAACGAAGTAGATCACAGATATGTGTAATAAAGCGAACCAGTGTGTAGCAGAAACAGCAATGCCACCCCCACCCCTGCCGACGTGGGATTTAATATGCGGAGGCAAAATGGAAACAAAATGTTTAGAATTAATTTAGTTAACTCTAAGTACTATGAACACGTTGAAGGCTAGATGTTGGGTAAGCATACTCCATGTTCGGTGATTATAAAGAATCACCACTGAACAAATGGAGAACTTTCTCATGAATGTTTCTCTTTTGTAAAGACAGATTTTCATGTCTCTGGCTAGCTGGCTGTCCTTGGACGTGCTGTGCAATAGAGGATGACCTTGAATTTTTGATCTTCCTACCTCCACCTCCTGGGTGCTAAGAATACGGGTAAGTGCTGCATGGCATACCTGGTTTGTGTGGTTCTAGGGATCAATCCCAGGGCTCTGTGTGTGCTAGGCCAGCAAGCATCCTACCGACTGAACTATATACCCTCTCCCAGGATGCTTTACATTTTTTCCTCAATAGAGACATTGTGTCACATGTTTCTAGTCCCAGCTACATAATAAGTTCAATCGATACACTGTAAAATCGGTACAGAAGATTTCTGGTAATGCCTTTTCCAGTAACCAGGCCAGTAACCAGGAACTCCGTTCACACTGTCATCATCATTCTCAGTGTTTGTGAAAGCCCTGCCGTGTGCCCTCTAAGTATCTATCTGGCTGTCAGGCTGCAGGCCCGGATTCCCTGGCCCAGCAAAGGCATTAGACGGGAAGTGAGCCTGCTCTACGAGGATCCCTCTGCACTGTGCTACAGATAGAGCCTACCCACTGGGACTTTCTGTGGTGGCAGGGCCCAGATCTTTGTTGCCTGGTATTGGCCTGTGGTACTGAAGAGCTTGTACCTACACTTTATTTACTCTTTTATGAGTGTGCATGCTCACGCATGTGAGTGTGCTGGTGCATACACATGTACACATGCATGTGTGAGAGGGCGTCAGGTGTTCTGACCTTTTACTCTCTGTCTTGTTCCCTTGAGTCCGTTTCTCACTGGGCCCTGGAGCTAGCCAAGCAGCTAACAAACCCTTGATTTTCCCTGTCCCAGGACCCCTACAGTACCTGTGGATGACAGGTCCACCCCAGCTTTTTATTTTCCCCCGAGACAGGGTTTCTCTGTGTAACAGCCCCGGCTGTCCTGGAACTCGCTCTGTAGACCAGGCTGGCTTTGAACTCACTGAGATCCACCTGCCTTTGCCACCAGAGTACTGGGACTAAAGGCGTGTGCCACCATGCCTGGCTGCACTGCAGCTTCTTAAATGAAATGAGTTCCAACTTACACAGCAAGGATTCTTGTCCACTGAGTCATCTTCCCAGCCCTCATTTTATTTAATTTTAACTTTGCCGGTCCCGGGTGGCTAGTAGACACTGGATGAGACAGTGCAGAAATAGCGTTAGGAAGACAGTTAGAGGCTGAGCAGCAAAGGGAAAGAGAGTGATTTTATTCTCTGGTAGGGAGCCACAGCACTCAGAGTCTACACACAAACTGAAACATGGAAAGGAGCAGGCTGTGGTGGCCTGCACCTTTGATCTCAGTGCTCGGGAGGCAGACGCAAACAGTTCTCTGTGAGTTCCAGGCCAGCCAAAGCTATGTGGTGAAGACCTTGAACCAAGAACAAAAACAAACCAGAAGAAGGAAATACACCAAAGCAGGCATGATTTTGAGTCAGGGCTCCAGGTGGCTTTGCCGCTGCTGCTCCAGGCCTTTGGGTTTGGCGGTAGCTGTGCTGGGATGGTGGACGGCCTGTGCCTTGCAGGTCTAGCTGCGAGTATCCAGCAAGTACCCACACAGAGCCAGGACTGGAGCGTCCCCCCCTTAACCTGTGTGTCCCTACTCTGTTCCCACCCTTCCCACCCACTGCCTCAGGACCTTGATAAGTTAATTCCTATTCTTTGCTCTAGTGCCTTCCACTGTAAAATGGGGATAATAAAATAAAAGGCTTTATGGAATGTTTGTGTAGACAGAGTGAGTTACTCCCTGGAAACCGTTTTTAAAAGAACAGAACCCTGCAGGTGGTACACTATGGGTCTGGAGTATTTGGTTGCTGGTTGCTGGGTTTGGTTTGATTGGTTGATTGGTTTTTAGAGTAGGGTCTCGTGTATCTCAGGCTGGCCTGACACTATATAACTGAGGCTGGTCTCAAACTGCTTCTACTTCTTAAATGCTAAGACTGGACGTGTGTGCCACCAGGCCTGGCTGGTCTGTCTGTTTAGATAGATAGTCATAGTCTGTAGCCCAGAGCCTATAGTTTAGACTGGCTGCAAACTCAAGGGAGTCCTGCTCCCCTCAGATCCTAAGTGCACTAAGTACTAGGGATTGATTATAGGCACAAACTACCGCATCTGGGTTGTTCATTATTAAATTTATCTCCAAGCGGGCTAGAGCAGTGATTCAGTGGTTAGGAATATTTGTTACTCTCTCAGAGAACCCAAATTCAGTTTCCAAAGCACACGGCAGTTCCCAGCAATCCAGAACTCTAGTTCCCGGGGATCTGATGTCCTCTTCTGACCCCCATGGGCACTTGGTGTTAATGTGGTACAGACATACATGCAGGCAAAACACCCATAATTTACCTTCAAGTGCTTTTCATGTGCGGCACGGGGTGAATGGATTTCTCTCTTTTTTATTGATTTATTGACTTTTTCAAGACAGGGTTTCTCTGTGTAGCCCTGGCTTTCCTGAAACTCGCTCTGTAGGCCAGGTTGACCTCAAATTCATAGAGATCTGTCTGCCTCTGCCTCTAGAGTGCTGGGATTAAAGGCATGTGTCACCTTCTTAATTTTCATTTCTAATTGTTTGCTGCCTGACTAAATCAAGCCTGTAGATTGTCTTACAGATTTTCCTGGTGTTTTCTGTGCATTCAGTCTTCTTTCCTGCAAATGTTAACAGTTCTACCTCTTACTCTTTTTTTTTTTTTTTAATTATATGTGTCTGTCTGTCTGTCTGTCTGTCTTTGGGTATGTGCACCAGGAGTAAATTTTTCCAGTACAAGGTGTTGGAGTTCCTGGAGTTGGAGTTCCAAAATGTTAAGCTGCCTGATTCTGGTACTGAGACCTAAACTTGGGTCCCCTGCAAGAGCAGCCACACTCTTAACCAGTGAGCCGTGTCTAGCCCCATGGCTTCCTCTTTTTTTTTTTTTTTTTTTTTTTTTTTTTGGCCACTGTAGCGTTTGAAGGCGCCACAGTTTGCAGGAGTGAGCATGGGTGTCCCTGCCATCCCCCAGCTCTCAGGGTTACTGTTCATGCTTTCACATAAGTGTGGCATGCTTAGGCCTGGCCACTGGCCCTGTTGCCCTGTGGCAGTCTCCCCCCTCCATTTGCTGAGACATTGGTCCCGACCATGTCGTAGCAGGACAGCTGGGACCCTGCTGTGAGGTGGCCTTGTCCTCTCCCACCAGACCTTGCTGGATACCCGCCTCTACTTTAGCTTTCAGGGCCACGCTGACCTCCTAAAGTAGACTGGGTAGTGATCTAGGATGTATAAATTTGGGTTATTTCCCGACTGCATTTACCAGGAATTTACCACCAAAGTCTGAAATTTGGGAATATTGTTTCCTGGAAAATGCAATTTTTTTTTTTTTTTTTTAGATGTAGTAGAACTTTTTTTTTTTTTTCTTGTTTATTTGAATCTTTAAAGATAAGGTTGTCCATTTGGTTGCCAGGCGATGGTGGCGCACACCTTTAGTCTCAGCACTTGGGAGGCAGAAGCAGGCAAATCTCTGATTTTGAAGCCAGCTGGATCTACAGAAAGATTTCCAAGGTTAGCCAGGACTACACAGTCTCGAAAAACGATAATGAAAATGTCCATTTGACATAAGGTATTGAGTGAAATATATTTGTCACTTCTCTGTAAATCTAGTCATCCCAAAGTAATTTACTTACAGAAACTGTTTCATAGGCAGCTCAGGGGCAGAACATTTTCCCTGAGTATGAGGGCCCTGGGTTCAATTCCTGGCACTGGTAAAAATTAAAACAAAATTAAAAAAGCTTTTCAGAGGTTAAAAGTACGTCTGTACTCTTCCAAAAAAACAAGGTTCTATGCACAGGACCCACCTGGCAGCTCACAACTGTCAGTAACTACTGTCCATCAACAGACACTAGGTACATGTTTAGTACATGCATGCCTATACTACACCTGCATGTAGGCCAAACACTCATACTTACCAAAAAAAAAAAAAAAAAACCAACTTTGACTTAGAGGCCAGTCTGGTCTATAGAAGCCAATTCTAGGACAGCCAGAGCTACACAGAGAAACCCTGCCTGTGGGTGGGGGCTTTAAAGAAGGGGAGGAGGATATCCCTATGGAATGGTGGCCCAGCATGGCGAGAGGCGGGAATGGGCCATTAAGCTAGGCTGGTTACTAGACACATAAAAGCCATAAGGAGAAAGGAAGTCACCAAGACAGAAAGCATTTGGGCGATACTGGACTGCAGGGATGGAAGTCTTAGTTAGGGTTTCTATTGCTGTGAAGAGAGAGCATGGTAGCACACAAGCTGACATGTGCTGGAGAGGGAGCTAAGAGCTCCACATCCTCCCGGGCAGTGGTGCTGCACACCTAAAATCTCAGGAGGTAGAGGCGGGTGGATCTCTGAGTTTGAAGCCAGCCTGATCTACAGTGTGAGCTCCAGAATAGCCAAGGCTACGCAGAGACACCCTGTCTCTAGCCACCACCACCCCCTTCAAAAATAAGTTCTATATGTGGATCCACAGGAAGAGTGAGCCCCTGGGCCTGGCTTGAGCTCCTAAATCCTCAAAGCTGTCCCCAGTGATGCTTACTCCAACAAGGCCGCACCTCCCAATAGTGTCGCTCCCTGTAAGCCTATCAGGGCCATTTTCATTCAAACCAGTGCACTGCTGTGTGAACTGTTAGTTTCCAGCAGGTAGGGGTGTGTGTGTGTCTCTGTGTGTGTGTGTGTCTGTGTGTGTGTGTGTGTGTCTGTGTGTGTGTGTGTCTGTGGTGTCTGTGTGTGTGTCTGTGTGTGCGTGTGTGTGTGTCTGTGTGTCTCTGTGTGTGTGTGTCTGTGTGTGTGTGTGTCTGTGTGTGTGTGTGTCTGTGTCTGTGTGTGCACGCGTGTGCGTGTGTGTGCGCGTGTCTGTGTGTGTGTCTCTGTGTGTGTGTGTGTGTCTGTGGTGTCTGTGTGTGCGTGTGTCTGTGTCTGTGTGTGTGTCTGTGTGTGTGTGTGTGTGTCTGTGGTGTCTGTGTGTGCGTGTGTGCGTGTGTGTGTGTGTGTGTGCGCGTGCCTGTGTGTGTCTGTCTGTGTGTGTGTCTGTGTGTGTGCGCGCGCGCGTGTGTGTGTGCGTGCCTGTGTGTGTCTGTCTGTGTGTCTCTGTGTGTGTGTGTGTGCGCGTGCGCGCGTGTGTGTGTGTGTCTGTCTGTGTGTCTCTGTGTGTGTGTGTGTGTGCGTGCGCGCGTGTGTGTGTGTCTGTCTGTGTGTCTCTGTGTGTGTGCGTGTGTGTGTGTGTGTCTGTGTGTGTCTGTGTGTGCGTGTGTGTGTGTCTGTGTGTGTCTGTGTGTGTCTGTGGTGTCTGTGTGTGCGTGTGTGCATGTGTGTGTGTGTGTCTGTCTGTGTGTCTCTGTGTGTGTGCGCGTGTGTGTCTGTCTGTGTGTCTCTGTGTGTGTGTGTGTGCGTGTGTCTCTGTGTGTGTGTCTGTCTGTCTGTCTGTGTGTCTCTGTGTGTGTGTGCGTGTGTGTTTGTCTGTGGTGTCTGTGTGTGCATGTGTGTGTGTGTGTGTGTGTAGGCAGACAGGTGTAGACCTGACTGAAGGTGTAAGTATGGAGTGTGGAAGGGAATCAAGGGTACCTGTACGCTCCCAGCTGTATCCGTCAAAGGGCACAGCAGTGTCACACAGACCTAGTTGTGATAGGGTTCCTAGAGGTTAACTGTCTGCAGGCCTCTGCTGGAGGAAAACATGGCTGGGACCATGGGAAGGTACTGAGAGGCCCATAGCACTAGCCAGGAGGACCTGAAACTCCAGGATGAACTTCTGCTGGCCACACTAGGGACATTAGAGTCTCAGATAACTGCCAGCCGCTAGTGGACTGACCTAGGGAGACATGCATGCACAAAGTGAATGAACTATTGTTTGGTAAAGGAGCAGGATTCAGGGTGGCTCTCTCGATCCCTGTGAAGTGGTCAGACAGAGAGCCCTTGAACTGGAGTGCACCTCCCTGTGGAGCCAGACTATGGTCCAGGATGCTATGTGTTCAGCAGTCCAACTTCCTGTGGCCTAATGGTCTGTGGGTGTGCCCTCCTGGGAGCATACCTTTATATCCCTAGCTGCTTTTCCTGCTGCAGGGTGTGTGGGGGAAGTTCCGGCTTCAATGCTGACTGGTCTTTATGAAGATGGTCCTTGCCCTGAAGCTGTGCAGGAGCCCACATCACTTCATTAGAGCAGAAGTCACTCAGGCTCGGTGGCTTTGGGTCAGATGCTCCCATCACTCTCATCTCTCAGGAAATTGGAAGGGTGGGAGCTGTGTGAAGAACAAGACTGAGACCACGTAGATGCTGTTCACTATTCACGGTAGGACAGAGCACAGTGCACCCATGTGGGTCGGCCTGTCCTTGCCTGGCCTTTCCACTTTCCGATGTGATTGAGGCAGCAGCTGTGTGACCTTCCCTGGGTGGCAAAAGTGACATTTGTCCGGGTGTGTGTTTGCCATTGCTCAGTATTCTTGTGTTCCTGTTTAACAGTTTCAAGCTGCCCAACAGCACATTCTTCAACAATAGTTCAACAAATGGCTGTTTTTACTTGGGAGAAATTCGGACTTGAGGTTTAGATTCCCTTTTAATAATCTCACCAAGCAGGTGCCTGACATTCTCCAGGGGGCTCACTCACCATTGCAAGAGATTTAATTATCTAAATCCTGTGTGCACAGCTCCTGGCCTGATGTAGACAGGCTAATGGACACCACAAGCCGTCCTGCACTTTGTGGTTCAGCGGACGAGTAGTCCATCAGTTCTCTTGGTTTTTTTCTGACGCCATTCTAGACTCCGCTCCAGAGTCGTGTCTAACCCGAGTGTCTTACTGGATCCTTCTGATTTCTGCTAGGGCCATGATACCTACCAGACGTGTCTTGGCAAGGTCCTTCACTGTGTTGGGTGTTTCAAAGTGTGCTCCATCCACATGGGCTGCCCTCAAGCCCAGCCAGCTCCGGCCACTGCAGGCTTCATCTAGATCGCTCTCCCTGAGCATTGCAGACCATGCTAAGCACCAGGAGGTCTCCCGAAAGAAGCTGCTGTCAGAGAAAAAATTGGTGAGTCTCAGCTTAGGGAGGACACATATGACTGACTGTGTCTGTGCGTGCGCATATGTGTGTGTGTCGTTGGTGTGTGCATGTAAGCACATACCTGTGGAGGTCAGAGTAAAGGGTAGGATCCCTTGGAGTTACAGGCAGTTAGTTGTGTGCTGTGTGAGGTCAGTGCTGCGACCCAAATGTGGGTCCTCTGGAAGAGTAGCAAGTACTCACTCAGCTGCCTCTCCAGCGCCAGGCTTTGCATTCTTTATCCCCCCATGGCTGGCCCAGATTGTGCTACTGAGGGCTGCGTGGAGTTCATGCCCAGCTCTCCTGGAAGTATTTTTACATACAATTACTTTATTTTCAGTTAGGTGGTTTTGAATATGCATGTCCTGTTTTGAACCTGGGGACTGGGTATATCTTTAGTTTTAGGATCTTTGAGGCATATAATGAACAACATGTTGTTGGTTTGTTTGTTTGTTTATTTGTTTGTTTGTATAATGCATGTGGGTGCATGTGTGTATGCAGGTGCTCTGTATATGAAGGCCAGAGGACAATCTCTGTGTCATCCTCAGGAGCACTGGCTACTCCCTTTGAGACAGTCTCTCGTGGGCCTGAGGCTCACCAGTCATGCTAGACCGGCTTGCCGGTGAACTGCAGATTCCCCCCAGCTCTGCTGTACAGCACAGGGATTACAAACGCATGCCACCACAACAGCACTTTTATGTGGGCGCTGGGGATCAACCCCAGCCTGTTATGCTTGCAGGCAGGTTCTTCACTGACCATCTCTCCCCAGCCTTACAGGAAATTTGTATTCTGTTTGCCAGAACCTTTGATGGTCTTTGACTAAAGACGTTACACACTGGGACTCACCTCACCTCCTCCTAGTAGAGGGGCTCTGGATGAGCAGCCGAGACAAAGCCATGCTGCTTAGGACGGAGGGACATAGCACCTATGTCCCCGGGGCTCTGCACTCCTGGCTACTTGTGCTTGGGCTGGGTCTTTCCTAGTGGTGTCCAGCCTGTGCTTTTGCCTGTGAGGTGCAAGGTACAAGCTTGCACTGTTTCAAAGTAGCAGCTCATAGCTTTCCTCACGCTGCCAAGGAATCCTACAACATTTGTTTTGGGGGACTCTCTATTTATTTTTGTGGTGCAAGGCATCAAATCTGGGACCTTAAACATGATGAGTGAACGCTGTACTGCTGAGCTCTGCACCAGGCTGGGCGTCTTTTTCCTTAAAAAAACAACCCAGTCCCGGGGACCCGAGCAGGGGCTCAGTGGTTAAGAGCATTTATTATTCTTGCAGAGGACTTGGGTTCCCAGCACCAACAGAGTAGCTCACAACTACCTGTAATTCCAGTTACAGGGGACCTGGCACAGGCTTTGCATACACATGGTACATATGCATAGTCAGGCACACACACATATACACAGAAAATATTTTCAAAACACAGTGTTGAGAATAGAGGAGAGAGCCGCAGCTGAAGGATGAGCTGATGTGTATGAGTGTTTTGCCAGTGTGCATGTATGCATGCATGTATGTATATGTGTGTGTGTGTGTGTGTGTGTATGTATACCACATACGTGCCTGGTGCCTACAAAAGTCAGAAAGGCTTTGGATGCCCTGGAGTTGGAGTTACAGATGTTTGTGAGCCATGTGATTGCTGGGAATGGAACCCAGGTCCTGAGCAACAGCAGCAAGTGCTCTTGAGTGCTGAACCCTCTCTCCAGGCCAGTTGGCTGATTCTTACTCTTTCGTTGTATTAAGGGCCCAGAGAGAACCGTGCTGAGAAGGGTCCTGTCTCGCTCTCTGCATTCACATTCACGCCGTCAGGTGGTCCCACTGGAGAGCCCTCTCCCCCACAGCTGAAGCCTGGGCATTGTCCCAGAACTCCACCTCATGCTATCCTATGCAGCAGCAGTTTTGCGCTGATAAAGACAGACCTGGCATGTTAGCAATGTGGCTGTCTGAAAGAAGCTGGAAGGACACTCTGTTCAGGAACACTCCCTGAACAGGCTGTGCTCCCTGGGTTAGGATTTCTGAGCTGCCTTCTGAAGTGTGCCGTACCAGCCGCCTGTGGCGTCTGCAGTGACTTTCTTCAGTCCTCGGGTATTGGTGACCTGCGGGAGCTGGCTTACCTGTAGTCATGTTAGCATGGTGTACCAAGTGGATGCTCATGTGTATGAGTGTTTTACCTGCATGTATATGTGTCTCCTGGAAGGGTTTCAGGGTTGCTGACATCCTTGGGTGCCTTATACTCACTGCAGAAAAGGCATTTTGTGGATCACCGGAGAGTACTGGTCCGTGGAGGGAACGGAGGTTCTGGCATGAGCTGTTTCCACAGTGAGCCCCGCAAGGAGTTCGGAGGCCCCGATGGCGGGGACGGAGGAAACGGAGGACACATCATCCTAAGAGGCATGTAGCCTGGGAGCAGCTGGGGAGGAGACAGCCTGCACATAGCGGGTGGAGGGTCCACTGTCTTGTCTTGGCATGTGTTTGTGTACAACATTTTTATGAATTATATGGCTGCTTATCACCAGGGTACTAAGGCAAATGACTTTGGGGGTCATTTTTACTTTTTAATCTCAGAAACACAGATAATTTGCCATAGGACCTTCATGACAGCACATGTAATGGGGACAGAAGATGCAGCAGAGGGGCTGGGTTTTGTCGAGCATGTGCTGGGCATGAGGCATCTTCACAGCGTGATGAAGTTAGCTGCTTTCTTCTGTTATCCTCATTCCATATGTATGGGTGCTATACCGAAGTGCATGGCGTGTGTATACACAGTGTTCCCCACAGAGGCCATCAGATCTCCTAGAACTGGAATATGACACTTGTGAGCTGCCATTAGATGCTGGAAATCAATCCTGGGAAGAGCAACCAGTGTTCATAATCATCTCTTTAGCCCCCTTAGGTGACTTTTTTGTTTCTGCTTTTAATTGATAATAGTCTTATTTGCTTTATCCTGGTGTAAGTTTCAAGGCATCCAGGGCTACAGAGATACATAGTAAAAATCCTGTCTCAAAAAAAGAAAAAAAAAAAAAAAAAAGGTCATATTCTATTTCGGTTAGGATAATGGAGAATGTGGGCTGCCAGCTGTACACCCAGGCCAGGGAAGGGCGAGGCTGACAGATGTGAGGTCACTGTTCTCTGCTTGGCAGCTGTGTTAGCTGTCTTAACACGAAAGGACGTGAGATTCTGTTCTCGCTCTAGTTGACCAGCAAGTGAAGTCCTTGTCCTCAGTCTTGTCCCAGTACCAGGGTTTCAGTGGAGAAAATGGTGGCAGTAAAAACTGCTTTGGACGAGGAGGCGCCATCCTCTACATCCAGGTAAGCTGAGGGGCTGGAGTGGCCACTGTCCCCTTGGGTCCTAGTCACTGAGTCCATGGACAGCTAAAGGCGCCTGGCTAGGACAGAAGGGGTCTGTCTTTGGAGTCCAGGCCCCACCCACACAAAGTCCCTTGTACTGGTGTATTGCTGTGTTGCTTCCGACCCGACCTGAGAGAGTGCAGAGGGTTGAGCCTGCAGAGGTGGCCAAGCGCATGCCTCTAACCATGTCCAGGTGAGGGCGGCCTGCTCACACAGGGTTGATTCTGACGCTATAGAAAACACTTGAATAGAGTCCCTTGTGCAGGTGAGTGTTTGCTGTTGTGACAGACCTCACGTGTGACCCGGGCTGTCCTTGAACTTGTAATCCTCCTGCCTCAGCCCCCAGAGTGCTGGGAGGCAAGTGTTACCATGACAGCTTACATACGCACTATGGGGCATGTGACTAGGCCCATAAACTAGGGCTGGGACACTTTCTTCGAGGTGGTGGCCGAGGAAAATGGTTAGCAGTGTGTCCCCCGCAGCCCCTCATCCTGGCTGGTTGTAGAACGTAACTGTAACTTCATGCTGCTGCTGATGCTTTTCAGGTCCCTGTGGGTACCTTGGTGAAAGAAGGAGGTGAGATTGTGGCTGATCTATCTCACCCAGGAGATGAGTACATTGCTGCACTGGGGGGTGCAGGAGGAAAAGGCAATCGCTTTTTCCTGGCCAATGACAACCGTGCCCCTGTAACATGCACCCCTGGACAACCCGGTCAGGAGCGGGTCCTCCACCTGGAGCTCAAGACAATGGCCCATGCTGGGATGGTAGGTCCCGACTGTACCACACTCTGGTGGGGTTTGCAGTGATGGTGAGGTATTGCTGCTGCCCGGGAGAGAATGGCAGCTTTCATTCATTCCTCCTGTGTGTGCCGCTTGGGAGCGAGCAGGCAGGAGCCTGCATGCTCACCTACCCCAACCCAGTCCTCTGCCTGTGCCAGCTGCTGGTGGCATCGAGGTCACATAGCATGTTCTTTTTCCTAGGTTGGCTTCCCCAATGCTGGGAAATCATCTCTCCTTCGAGCCATTTCAAATGCAAAACCGGCTGTAGCTTCCTACCCTTTCACCACCCTGAACCCTCATGTGGGGATCGTTCACTACGAAGGCCACCAACAGATAGCAGGTAGAGCCTCCAAAACCCTGCCAGAGGATGGGTTTAAATGGCCCAGTGGCTCAGGAGGGCAATTATATAACCCCTGAGATTAGCTTCCCACTTAAAATGAGACATTGTTTTCCCTGATTGAAACTATGTTAATGAGCCTGTTCTCTGTCACAATCAGCCCCTCCCCTCCCAGCCAAGAAATCTGATCTCTTTACTTGGGAATTATAATCTTGACTTTGGAGCCTGAGGAGAGGGCTGCCTCTTGCCTTCCTCATTCTCTCCTGTGGAACTGGGCGGCATCAGTCATGCAGACAGCATGTGGTTTAAAAGCCTTTCCTGTACCATTTTAAGAGGAAAACTTTTTTTCCAGAAGATAATGTACCCATTAAAAATAGCAAGCCTGCTGGTAAGGTTATTTGTACAGCACTTTATATCTGCAAAGTGCACGATAGTGATTTGTATCCATAATCAAATTAGCCATAGAATGCAGGGAGCCATCTCCTTTTTTTGGACCACGTTTGAAGCCTGGGAGACAGGAATGTGTTAAATCTTCCTCATTAGATTGATCCACTGCGCCTGTCACCCAAATATTTCAGCGCATGTTGCAGACCCAAGGGCTGCAGTGCCTTCATACCTCCTGGCCTGCTGAGTCACCTGGGGGGGGGGGGGATGAATGGCTTCAATTTCAAGTGTTCCTTGAAAGGAAAGTTGTAGAATGTGAGATCTGGGCCAGAAGGGGTCTCCCCGGGGGCTGTGCTGGGGGGGGGGTGCGGAGCCCGGCCTGCACCTGACTGACCTGCTAACCTCTTGCAGTGGCAGACATCCCAGGCATCATCCCGGGTGCACACCAGAACAAGGGCCTGGGGCTCAGCTTCCTCAGGCACATTGAGCGTTGCCGATTCTTCCTGTTTGTGGTAGATCTTTCTTTGCCTGAGCCGTGGACTCAGGTTGATGATTTAAAATACGAACTAGAGAAGTACGACGAAGGCCTGTCTGAGAGGTCCCATGTGATCATCGCAAATAAGATTGATCTCCCGCAAGCCCAAGCCTACCTGCCCCAGCTCCAGGCCCGCCTAGGGCAGGAGGTCATCGCCTTGTCAGCCCTGACTGGAGAGAACCTGGAGCAGCTGCTTCTACACCTGAAGGTGCTGTATGATGCCCACATGGAGGCCGAGTGGCAACAGGGCCACCAGCCTCTCAGGTGGTAGTGGGCACACGGCTGCCGGCCCTGGGGCCAGCATGGGACAGGGGTGGCCTGCAGTCGCAGCAAGCCGCAGCAGACCTGTTATAAAATGTGGGCAGCTTTGAACGCCTGAGAGGAAGTACTTGAAAATATGTGAGTGTGTCGATTCTTTGCTCTCCCACCAATTTGGGGCACACCTAAACTGCCCCCTACCCTCTGGCCTAGGCTGACAGTGGCCTGTGCCACCAGGTACCTGACTTGCTCCCTGGTGCTTGGATTGCCTGTCACCCTTGCTGACTGGTTTGCTGAGGTTGACTCATTTGTGCTAATTAACACCTCATTAGTAGGAGGACAGTGCTGCTGGCTGAGGTGGCAAACATTGCTGCCAGGCAGCCTGGGCAAATGCAACAGAGCAGCAGAGAGGCTGGGAGCCTCGGGCATGGCAGCATTTATGCAGAGCAGTCCCTGGTGTCCCTGTGGGGGCCAGGTCAGCCCACAGTTCCGCAGAGCCTCCTTGGTGCCGCCTACTATGCTAGCATGTCAGGGTGCAGTGGCCATGATCTGTTCTCCATTGCCAGCTGACTGAGGAGCACCGCCAGGGCCAGCTCCTTGTCTGTTTTCCCCGGAACGCTATGCTGAGCTCTGTGGGGGCTGAACACCAAGGCAGCCGTGAGCTTCACGACTGAATGCACCCAATATCCGACCCAGGCACGGAGACTCTGGCTGTGCATCAAGGATGCGCCAGCAAGTTGTCAACCAAAGGAGATGTGAACTTGAATTTCTGGCATTGTTCCTGATAGGTGACCTCAACTCAGCAGTGTGTATGAAACAATGGCAGGAGACCTGTCCCTGGTGACAGATACTGCCACCACTCTGCCCTGCCCCTGGCCAAAGGCTCAGCTCCCCCAGACTTACCTGACCTGAGGGTCAGCACCAGCCCTTGCCCCCAGCAGGGACCACTTTACTCCTCCAGGCACTGCACGTTGAAGAGTGGCGCCCCACCTGGTATAGGCTGGGGACCATGTGTCGTGTCCCCCAGGGAAGCCGACGCCTTCGTGTGGCCCTGGTGGCCCTTAGAGGTGCAGTGAGGAGACAGATGGAAATCGGAAGCCCCGTCTTTTGAGGAGACCCCTGCCTAGAGTGAGGTTAGGCAGGCTTCTGCACACAGGAACGCGTCCTTCTGTATGTCGGGGTGAGGCTGCTGCAGCAGCACGCCTGCCCTGAGCTTTTAGGGGCAATTCCATCTTGATGTGCAGCTGGAACACAGGGTCCTTTTCCACGAAGCTTTATTCTAATGTCTTATAATTTCAAAGGTCCTGGCGTTCTGGAGGCCAGGGTGGGTCTCATGTCTGTGGCTTTCTCTTTCAGGCCACCGAAAAGGGTTTTGTAGTCAGGCCAGGCCTGAGAGCATTAATTATCCACCATTGGCTTTCATCTTTGTGGCCGCTGTGCTCTGGAGACCTCGGAATGCCTCCCTAAGGCCTGAAGAAAGGGGATGGGCTAACTCCTCAGAGCTACCATGTGTCCTGGGAACCAGCAACAGTCCTTGGCCCAGACTCAGTCACAGGCTACTGAGGTGTAGCTGGAGGTTTCTGTCCCACCGGGGCCCTTAGCCGCTTTTCCCCAAATGAACACACAAATGCTTACATTAATTTATGTACTGTTTGGCCGATTACTTAGGCTTCTTACTGGCTACTTCTCTCTTAATTATTAACCCATAACTATTAATCTTTGTATCTTCACATGGTCTTGGCTTACCAGAGAGTACCCGGACGTGTTACTCCTTTGGCTACATGGGGCATCTATTCACAGCCTCTCTCTGCCCTCCTTCCCCAGAATTCTCTTCATTTCATAGCCTCGCCTGCATTTCCTGCCCGACTGCTGGCCAAACAGTGTTTTATTCATCAACCAGTAAGAAAAACACATACACAGAAGGACGTCCCCCTTCATCTCATTTCAACTCATTTCAACCCCGCCTTCACTGAGGTACAGTTTTGCTGACATCAGGGAGCCAGCCCAGGACCACAGCGGAGAGCATGCGTGCTCACTCCTGGGACCACCCCAGGAGGGTTGTTTCTGAAGCCCGTCTTCTCCTCAGCTGGTGTTCTCGGAGAGAAGACTGACCGTCTGCCACTAACCAGTGCAGGGGTGAGTGTCTGCAGGTCATGAAGACGCTCATTTGAAGTCACAATTGCTGCACGCACACGGTGCACACATACATGTAGGGGAACACCCATACACAAAATAAGCAAAGGGGAGGCTGGAGTGGCAGCTCAGCTGGTAAGAACACTGGATGCCCTTCAAGGGGACCTAATTCAATTCCCAGCAGCCACCTGGCAACTGACAGAAGTCTGTAATTCTTGTTTCAGGGGACCCAGTGCCCTCTTCTGGCCTCCAAGGGTACTGCGGGCATATGGTGCACAGCCACACATGCAGGCAAAACACATAAAAGAAGAAGTGTCGGGCGGGGGTGGCGCTCGCCTTTATCCCAGCACTCGGGAGGCAGAGGCAGGCGGATCTCTGTGAATTCGAGGCCAGTCTGGTCTACAGAGCGAGTTCCAGGGCAGGCTCCAAAGCAATACCCTGTATGGAAAAAAACAATAAAGAAGAAAAACAGGTTGTACTATTTCAGGCTGTGGTGTGGCATGATGCCAGAGCACTTGCTTGACATATGCAAAGCTCTGGCTTCCATCTACAGCAAATCATATGAAGCAGTAATCAGGAGTGATACATGCCTATAATCAGGGATGGTACATGCGTGTAATCAGGGATGGTACATGCCTGTAGTCGGGGGTGGTACATGCCTGTAGTTGGGGGTGGTACATGCCTATAATCGGGGATGGTACATGCCTGCAGTTGGGGGTGGTACATGCCTGCAGTCGGGGGTGGTACATGCCTGTAGTTGGGGGTGGTACATGCCTGCAGTTGGGGGTGGTACATGCCTGCAGTCGGGGTGGTACATGCCTGTAGTCGGGGGTGGTACATGCCTGTAGTTGGGGGTGGTACATGCCTATAATCGGGGATGGTACATGCCTGCAGTTGGGGGTGGTACATGCCTGCAGTCGGGGGTGGTACATGCCTGTAGTTGGGGGTGGTACATGCCTGCAGTTGGGGGTGGTACATGCCTGCAGTCGGGGTGGTACATGCCTGCAGTTGGGGGTGGTACATGCCTGCAGTCGGGGTGGTACATGCCTGCAGTTGGGGGTGGTACATGCCTGCAGTTGGGGGTGGTACATGCCTGCAGTCGGGGGTGGTACATGCCTGCAGTTGGGGGTGGTACATGCCTGCAGTCGGGGTGGTACATGCCTGCAGTCGGGGTGGTACATGCCTGCAGTCGGGGTGGTACATGCCTGCAGTTGGGGGTGGTACATGCCTGCAGTCGGGGTGGTACATGCCTGCAGTCGGGGTGGTACATGCCTGCAGTTGGGGGTGGTACATGCCTGTAGTCGGGTGGTCCATGCCTGCAGTCGGGGTGGTACATGCCTGTAGTCGGGGATGGTACATGTGTGTAGTCGGGGGTGGTACATGCCTGTAGTCGGGGATGGTACATGCCTGCAGTTGGGGGTGGTACATGCCTGCAGTCATATTTGGAAGGTGGGGTCAGGAGGCCCAGAAGTTCAAGGTCATATGCTCAGTTCCAGTTCCAGTTTGAAGCCAGCCTGAGCTACATGAGACCCTGTTTCAAAAAGGAAAAAATAAAAGATGTAATAGTTAATAGTGTGCCACCTACGTGTGTGTGAGGTTCCCAGGGTTGTACAAGCATCTCCACTACCTGTTTGCATCACAGTTCCATTCCCAGAAGAAACCCTGTCTGCAATGGCAATTCCCCTCTCTGGGTTGTTCACATCCCAGTTCACCTTCTCCCCGACAGTCTCAATTACCTCCACTGGATTCCCCACAAGCAGGACCCAGTGGTGGTCAGTTACCTGGAAGCAGAAACATCTCTTTTGGTTTATTTTTTTTAGGTAGCCTGAGATTTCAAGACAGAGTTTGTCTGGAACTTGGTTGGTAGATCATGCTGGCCTCAGACTCAGAGATCCGCCTGCCTGTGTCTCCCAAGTGCCAGGACTAAAGGCGTGCGCCACCATGCCCAGCTGTGCAACAGCATCTTAACAGATGCCTACTGTGCCATTTCTGAGGCAGCGACTGCTGTGCTGCATCACAGGAGGGCCACAGGCAGCACGGGGCTGTGATTGCCTCCAGACCAGGGCCTATGGTGTAGGCTGTTCCCCAGCAACCTCAGTGAGGTGGCAGGTCCCAGGCTTGAATGGATGGGTTCCTCTTGGCCTGAAAGACAGTAACAGCCCTGCCCTGCCTTAACCTGAACACCATGTTTCTCTCCCGACCATTTCCAAAGAGTCATTTGGGCTTCTGACAACCATTTGGGATGTTGCTGGGCTCTCCCCACAGTATCCCAGAGTCTGGACATAGGACCATTGGAGGAGTTGCGGAGCTGTCTGGAGCACACAGCTGCCCTGTGTTGTTTCCCAGTCTCTGTTTCTGGATTCTTCCCATCTTCCAACATCTGTCCCCACTGACTGGCGACATTTTCCAGACAACACAATAAGCCAGCTTCCCTCTGTCCCTGGGTGCTCTCTCCTGGCACATTTATCTGTGGGGTCTAACCTACCCTTGCTGGGGCTCCCCAGTCTGTCTCCTGTTGACAGTCATCTACCACTGATTGCCTATTGGCATCTGCTGTGTCCGGCCACTCTCAGGACTTTCTGGAAGCAGGGCTGAAGATGGAGCCCAAGATGTTGGGGTAAAGTTCCCCTAGATTTCCTAGCCTCTGGCTTGGCTCCCCACTCAGACCTGGCTCCTCTGCTCCAGGAGCCTAGCCTCCAGCTCCTGCAGGGCTTCAAGAGCACACAGCAAGGGTCCCTTGCTATCAGCTTATCCTCACAGCCAGCCACTACCACGGCTGTCAAAACATCGCGGAGCTCTCTCTTCTGCTTTCCCTTCTCTGCACACAGAGACTAGCCTGCCTTGTTTCTTTCCTGCTTCTGATGAGATAAAAACAAGAAGACACTTGTCCTGTGTCAGGAAAAGGAAATGCCTAGCCAAACTAAGGGGTGCTGCAGGTCTTCCCTGCCAATGAGACCGTCACTGGGTTTCCCTCCGTGGTGACCCGAGTCATGGGCAGCAGCTGTGTGAATGGAAGGTGGCACGGGACCCTGGCTGCTGGGTAAGAACAGCTTGACTCCCACACTTCCTGTCCGGGTGCCCTGAATCTACCCTGACCAACAAGGAGACATTGCCTGGGCCTTCAAGGGCCTTTGCAGCTCATACTCTGCTCTCTGGGCCCCACGGTGCCCAACACATAGCCCAACCTGGGCCTCCTGTAGTGGAAAAGCCCGGCAGAGACAGAGACCCAAGAAGTAGTGTGGGGCAGAGATGAGCTGTCTACACATAAAATGAGACCAGAAAACTGGGTTGGCAGGTGGGCATTAGAACCTCACTCCCTCTTAAGACTCTAGGAAAGGGCTTTCCAAGTTGGCCCTGGGTGACCTTAACTCGTGCCTGCGTTACTCTAATCCCCCACTTCCAATGTGATGGGCCATCTACCTCACTGCCCTCTACCTGCTCTGCCTTTCCACCCCCTTTGTGAACAGGGTGCCACTGTAGCTCAGGATCGCCTCAAATGCATAATTCAACCGTCTCAGCCTACCAAATACTGGTGTTGCAGGTGTGGGAGGCCACGTCCAACTTGTTCTCTTTTTTTAAGGATGCCACGCTAAATCGAGATACCCTCTAGATCCTAACCCACCACTCAGTGGTTAGGGGTTGGCGGCAGGAGCCGTCCTTGGAGCCTACATGTGCGAAAAGCAGCTTAGAACTTCATGCCTGCCCAGTACCAAGTGCTAGTAAGGAAATGAAAGCATTCTTGAGATGACAGGCACGGCAAAAACATACCTAGTCCCAGCAGTGAGGAGGCTGAGGCAAGAAGATTAATCCTAGACTCCGCATCAACCTGTCGAGAAACAAACATGCTCCTGAGGTGCGACAGCCGCACGGCACACTGAGTGCACTGGATGCCACTGAACAGGCACTTGAGGATGAGCGGATGGGATGGGATCCGGGCTGACACCGCAGCAGGATTCAAGGTGAGCAAAGCAGAACGGAACGCCCACCACGGGCACTTGCACGGGATGGGACAGGCCAATGTGGAAGCAGACGTCCCTGCAGCTGCTGAGAATTCTGCCTGAGGCTGTCCTGGGGCCCAGGTTAAGGGCACATGGAGCTTTGTGCCTATCACAGCACTTGGGTCTGCAGAAACCTCAGA